GGTGGGGTGGGGGAGCTAATATACAGTCTATAGAATGAAAGAGAGAAGAGAGGTCACCTGCTAAGTTTGTAATGGCATTTAGTAATGCCAAAGCTAATGACACCCCTTTTTCTCACCAGACATGTCCTTGCCAAGAAGCGACTACGCAGGGATGGGATTTAAGCATTTTTATGAAGGGTTGGCACCTCCTAAAATTGGATATTTTGATAGAGGGGCACAATTTAGGTGGATTAACTCGAGCTCAACTCAAATAGATTTAGCCTGCTGACTGCGAGATGTGGGGATGGGTAAATCTACACGACTTTATCTCATATGTGGAGAGATTGTTTCGGTGAAAAAATACATTGCAAGCCAATTCCTCTCGATGAGGTTTCAAGCTATAAGTGTTCCAACAACCCACTGCTCGTTGGATTGCTGCTCAAACCAAAAGGGGAAGACTCTCTTCTCAAGTTTTTGCTTGTAGTTCTCATAATCAGAGCAAGAATCGCATTGTAACAACATTGCGATAATCAGTTTTCTTTTTTGTTTTTCCTGGCTTGTTGGCAATAAAATTTGGAACGGCAATCAGATTGTACAAGATGGGGCCCCCCACTAGTCCAGCTACATAGTGAGTGGTTGGAAGCAGGCCGGGCCTTACGGGCGGGCATCTCCCGCAACACAAAGCAGCATTGTTCAACACCACCCGAGAAGCAAAAGATTCGAGAGTCCAGACTGAAAATACATCCATAGCATTATTGTGTGGAGCAGATTCATTTCGGATATAAAATTTGGACAAAGACTTGGGCAGCATAGCATTTTCCTTAATTAAACCCATATGATATGTGGGTTAAAAATTTGGGTTGGGGTACTATTGCTTCAAACGACTATTCTACTCCTAATAAAATCCTGTCATTTTTACAGTTATACCATGGTTTGGTATCCCATTCAAACAAAATATTATATGGAATGAGTGAGACCCACTAACCTTGCAATATTTGAACCAAATAAGGGATAAGGAGAAGGGAATTAGGAAATTCTCTTTACTCTCTTTTAATGGATGAGTATGGATTGGATGGAGTTGTTCACTACAACCAATTCTAATACATAATCCAAACACTTCCTCAAAGTCGGTACAAAAAGGCTCCAGTATTGCATTTGTTTTAGTATTGCGGTTATAGATTTCGAAACTAATTTCTGCACATTTCGATTAATTTCTTTGTCAGTCGGTCAAAGGTTGACCATTCATGTCAGTTATGATTTAACTTTAAAAAAATTATCAAATTTTAAATTCTAAATATCTAAATTTACAGCTTATTTTTATTTTACCCCCTTGTGGTTTAATCCATTTGCACATCACCTTCCCGCAGTTTTGAAATAGCACATAACCCCATTGCGGTGAAATCCATTTGCACATCACCTTCTTGCAGTTTTGAAATAGCACATAACCCCCTTGTGGTTAGTGGAGTAAAATAAACAGCCAACTCTGTTAACCAAAAAAAGAAAAGAAAAAATGACCTAAATACTCTCCGATGATGCACAAAATTAATTATGTACAATCAAATCAATCAAGTGCGTGGTATAAAATAATTAATGAAATAATTAATAATAAGAGACAAAGATTAAGTGATTGGGGTGACCTAATCACTGAAGACGACAATGGTAGCTAAAGAACTCTATTAATAAAAGAGTTAAAAATAGTACGAGAAAGAGAAATAGAGTAATAGTACGTTCAAAGTGAAGTGTGCGAGATCTGACCTTATGTGTAGAGGATTTATAATTTATAGACACGAAACTCTAACTATGACGTGAAAATTAAGTTACTAATTTATCAGAGTGAATAACTATAGTTGGGAATAGACACTATATTTGAATAATGACTATCTCAATTATTACTCTCGTGCGTTAATTCTTTTTAAACTTTTGAACTTTAGATTATACTGAGAAGATGAGCCATACATAACATGTTTTTTTATGATTTGGGCTTAACCATGAATTGGAATGAGGCCCAGTTGGATCTGGGCTCGTCACCCTCTTTTCTTCTTCTCTGGTTGACCATCCATTTCTTCCCCGACAAGCTCAACCCATATCTTTCTTCTCCCTTCCTCCTCTTCTATAACAAAACAACCACAAATCCAACATTTCAATTCCAGAATTGAAACCGAAATCGCAAATCGAAATTAGAACAAGCCAAAATTGAGGCTGAAAAAATTCAATCCAAAAATCAACCCACAAAAAGTAAAATTTTCTTTCAAAATGAACCAAATTTAGACCAAAATTAGAACAAATAAAAATTGAAACAGTAAAGGAAATAAACTCAAGATTCAACCCAAAAATCAATCCTCAAAGACTGATGTATTCTTCACTAAAAATGAACCAAAATCTATCCAGAATCCCCAACGAAGTAAATTTGAAATTGAATCCAAACTGGAGTCAACCCAAAATTGAAACGAAAATCAAAGTTAGAAATTGGATTTCCAAAAAATTGATTCTGGCAATAACGTTCGCAGAGAAGCTTCGTAAGGGGAGGTGGATGGTGGTGGTTAATCATTGCAAAGAGGAGCTAGGTGCCATGACTGTTTGCGTAAAGAGGAGGTGGGTGGTGGTGGTTGATCAGCAGAGACAAGAGGTGTGGGTGTTGGTCGCGTCGCCTATTAACCAAGAGGTGGGTGCCAATGGTTGGTATTGGAGAGGGAGAAAGAGAGACGTCGATGGGCTTGCAGAGGGAGAGTGAGAGTGAGAGTAGGGGACTTTGGAAAAAGAGCGAGAGGATACGATAGAGGTTGAGGGCCTTTTTGTCCTTTTAACATATATATATATATTTTATTTTATGCCAAATCGCAAATTGGGTGCGTCTTTTCCGCACAGTTAAGTTGGATGGAAAATATAAACATTGCATTTTTGTCCATTAACCACAATTTCAAAACCGCAAGGACGTGATGTGCAAATAAGTTAAACCACGGGGGATTAAAATGAAGTTTGCCCTTTTCAATGTTACCGTTTAATTCACCATCCACATATTTAGGATTTTTGTTAAACTTTTATAACCGAATCTTCTGCCATACACGTCTGAGTTACTATTCTTCCAAACGATGCCGTTCTATTTATCAAACAAATAGGAGTAGAATTTTATCCGAGACAATTTATGCGGTGAAAATAAGATAATAGTTTTTAAAAATGATTTGAATTAGTAAGATAAAGGAAGAGTCATTTGACTCACAGCCACAGGAGTAAATTTTCGATTCAACCACGTGATAATATTCAGCAAATAACTAATTAATTAATGGAAGAATTACGTTCAAATTTTCTAAAATTTGTCACTTAATCATTCAGACAACCTGACTTTTGAAGCATTACACACAGACCTTTTAAATTTATACTCGCTTAACACTTAGACTTCTACTGTAAATATATCCGTTAATAAATTACATCCAAACCTCTTGAAGTTTGTAAATATATATTATTTAGATCCCTTAAGTTTAAAATATTATATTTAGACCAAAAATATTTCAAACAAAGATAAAATATCAAATAATTTAAATTTTACTATTAAAATTTATGTTATATTATATCATTTTAATGAAATAAAATCAAAAATAAAAATTTAATTTTTTCTTCAAAAATCGTAATTAGTATATAATTATATTGTCTATTGAAATTTAATAAACGACCAAATTAAAATATGAAACTACCTTAATTAAAATTAAAAGATAGTGTGTTTATTATAGTTTAACCCCTTGTTTAATTTTTTAGTTTTATTGTAATAAATAGTATAATTATGTACCAACTATGATTTTTTTTTGAAAAACTAATTTTTTAATTTTGATTTTATTTTAATAAATAATATAATAGAACATGAATTTTGGATGTAAAATTCATGTTCTACCTTGTTTTATTTTTTAATTTTATTCTATTAGATAGTATAATTGTATACAAATTACGATTTTTTAAGAAAAAATTAAATTTTTAATTTTAGATTTATTTCAATAAATAATGCAATAGAACATGAATTTTAGTTATAAAATTTAAAATATTTGATATTTTATTTTTTATTAAAGTATTTTTTGTTATAATATTTTAAATTTAAGGGTCTAAATATTATATAGTTACAAATTTTAAGAAATTTAAATATAATTTATTAACAAAAATATTTACAGCAGCAATTTAAATGTAATATCCATACAAATTTTAGAAGATTTTTATATAATACTTTAAATGTCAGGATACGATTGATTAAATGACAAACGGTCTGAGCGAACACAAGCCAAATAATCAAACAACCAAACACTGACCACAAGCCAGCGAACGCAAGCTCCCACACATACCAATCGGGACATAATCTCTATCATCCCCATCAACCCCAACTTCATATTCCCCCTCCGTTCCGTCCAATACACAGCGAAGACTACAATGGAAGCCATTGGAGTTCTGATGGCTGGCCCTATGTCGCCTTACCTCGAGCAAGAACTGGACAAGCGGTTCAAGCTCTTCCGGTTCTGGAAATTCCCTCAGAAAACCGAATTCTTGAAAGAAAACTCCAATTCGATACGGGCAGTCGTCGGCTACACCACGGCCGGCGCTGATGCTCAGTTGATTGACTCGCTGCCCGGTTTGGAGATCGTCGCGAGTTATAGCGTGGGATTGGACAAGATTGATTTGGAGAAGTGTAAGGAGAAGGGGATTAGGGTGACCAACACGCCCGATGTGTTGACTGAGGACGTGGCGGATTTGGCGATCGGATTGATTTTGGCGACTCTGAGAAAGATGTGCGAGTGTGATCGGTATGTGAGAAGTGGGTTGTGGAAGAAAGGGGACTTCAGATTGACTACTAAGGTTTGGTTTTTGCATTCTTGTTATATTTTTAAATTAAGTTTGTTTGGTTGCCGAGAAATAGTCAGAAACTAAAAGAAATTGAATCTTTGAGTTTTAATTTTGGGACACGAATCACGGAATTGACTATTTGGGTTCAACACAGTTGTTGGCTGAGAATTTTTCTTTGTGATTGGAACTCTAAGAGTAGGTGTAAATTAATAGCATTTGTGAATTTAGTATGAACCAGGAAGCTTGGTGGTTGACCGAATTCATACTCAACCATCAAGTTCTAAGTTCAGTCTCCTTATGTCATTTTTTTGAAGCTTTTAGATGGTGGAATTGCTTGGTGAACAATCCTTGATAGAACTTTGTGCAGCTGAGAAGCATTTGTTGTTGCACACCTCAAAAATTCCCATTAGAAGTTGGTAGGATATTTCTCTGTTCCAATTCCCTTACCTCGTGCTACTAAAATTATGCAATCCTTTGTGTTTACTAAAACTTATGGATCCTTTTGTGATGAGACAGAAGCTTTATTAGTCTTCTGAGAGTTGCACTTCGTGGCACACATCTTAGAATTTGAGAAGATTGGAGATTAAATATAGGTTACTGGTACAATATTAATACATTTCATTGGGTTCGATTCTTAACTTAGAAACATTGAGATGCAATTCTTGACGACCATTATTGGCTTTAGAGTGAATGGTAAAGTATGGTTGAAAAGTTCATTAGTGTTTTTGTTTCCGTCCAACCTTTTTTCCTGTCTTTGACATATTTTGGATAGTATCATTCTAATGGAAAAATGCTGTTTCATCTGCACTAACTCACCTTTTTTGGTCATTTTCTTCGAGTGCTCTGTCTAGGTGTGATGTTGAGAGCAGGATATTTTGTATTATTTAGCTTACGGTTCCACTATTTTCCTAAATGTTGATCAACACAATAACTGGGCAGTCAACCATGTCTAGGAGCAGCTACTATGTGGAAATAAGATCAAAACTTATGTTTGCATTCAGCTCATCCCTCCTAACTTTCTTGATTAATGGGGACTTTAAGAGGGTCCCTTAAGTTGGTAATAATTTCTTCTGGAAGTATGAAGGCTTTCTTCGTAAGCTAGACTATGGATCATGACAAAAGGCAGAGTAAAGGGCCTACAAAAGATATCAAATAAGAAAACTCCTATAGCACAAAACGGAGAGGCTTTTCCTCACAATGATGATGTGTGATTTATTTTGGATATGTTTCAATGATGCCAAATGCTTGTCAAGTTCTCTGGTTAATTTTGCGGCCTATGTAGATGATAGATCATGAACTGAATCTGTTTCGTGTTCTTTTTTCATTTTGCATCTTTCCACTTGGAGTTCTCATGTGTTATGCACTTTCTCTTTTTGTTTTTGTTTTTTCTTTGTTTTTTTGCAGTTTAGTGGCAAATCAGTTGGTATTATTGGATTAGGCAGGATTGGCTCAGCAATTGCTAAGAGAGCTGAAGCATTTGGATGTCCAATCAGTTACTTCACTAGATCAGAGAAACCTGATTCAGAATACAAATACTACCCTAATGTCATTGACTTGGCCTCCAACTGTCAAATCCTTATCGTTGCATGCCCATTAACCAGTGAAACTTGTCACATCATCAACCGGGAAGTCATCAATGCATTGGGTCCGAAGGGCATCCTTATTAACATTGGGCGAGGCCCTCATGTTGATGAACCTGAGCTGGTATCAGCTTTAGTTGAAGGACGGTTGGGTGGAGCCGGCCTAGATGTGTTTGAACATGAACCTGAAGTGCCAGAACAGCTCTTTGGGCTTGATAACGTGGTCCTCTTGCCTCATGTAGGAAGTGCCACAGTGGAAACTCGTAACGCCATGGCTGACCTTGTCATTGGGAATTTGGAGGCTCACTTTTTGAAGAAACCACTGTTAACTCCAGTTGTTTGATTGGGATGTGAAGGTATGTCGATTTATGATTGTTTGGAGGCTTCATCTTGCTTGAAATCATTGCCTCCTGAACTTAGCAAACATATTTTGTGGAATAACAATCTTTAATGTTAGTACCCATGATTTCTCGTAAGTTATTTCTTACCATCTTTAGTGCAGTCTTGTTGCTAATTTCAGTTAAAATGGCAATGCAATTGGATCATTCTTATGTAAAGCAGCATCAGGGAGCTCTTCCCAATATCGCACTTGGTTGATTGCTAAGCTGGGAAATAGCTCTTTTTTAAGCTGCAGTGATTTAAAAAAAAAAAAAAGAAGAAGAAGAAGAAGAAGAGAGAAATGGAATTGATTGTAGTTGAGGTTCTTTTGTCACTCCTTTCCCCATGTAGTAATTGGAATTACGATTGGTTACTAATTGCAGTTTAGAGACGGACTAAAAGAGAACTTCATAGAAGAGATAAAAACAACTCAGTTAATCAGGGTGTTAAACTTCACATATTCATCATGCATGTTGGCCCTTCTTGATGGGAGGATTGCAATTGCGATGGTACTTTGATACTTCTACGGGTTCACCATGATCTTAGTTATAGAGAAAGAAATGGGCAACTTCTCGTGTATATGAGAGAACCCAATGATGATGATAATGGAGGAATTGTGACAATTACTTCAGCCTGACCATTTTTCCTCTTTCCTAAAAAGATCCCTAGGCAATCTCACGTGATGTGCACGTGATCAATCCTGGTTCAACTCCCAATTCAACTCAACTAAACCTTGTCCCAACAATTTTTTGATCACCTACATACATCTTCTCTCACCATTGTGCTCTTGCTCTATCAAGTGTCAAATTTAGGATTAATTTTGATTTTTCTGTCTTTATACTTACCATTAATAACTATCATAATGCTATTTATTACCAGTGTCGTAATTAATCGTCTATAGGATCATGCCACATTAGGTAGTACAAGTCAAGTGGTACAGCGGTGTTCATATCATTATTGTACAGAGATTGGGCATCTGGTGACTATGTGGGTGCTTTTTGTTTTCCTCTCTCTTTCCCCATCTTTGCTGCATATTTCTACAAACCAGCTCTGAAAATGAAAAATAAAGAGGAAGGAAAAGGAAGCTGTGGACAGAGAACGACCCAATAGTAACTAAAATTTCCTATTATATCTTCATTTTTATTTTTCTTTCTCAGCTCTTCTCTGCAAACCCTGCAACCAAACACCTGCCAACTGTCAAGGGAAAGATAAGGGTGAAGAAGAAGCCCCTTTGAAGATGAGGAAGTTTAGAGTCTCCAAGGTGAAGTAGATGAAAGTTCCTTTAGTATGAGTGAAGAAACACCCAAAGTTTGATCCCACCACGCACTGCCACCCATTCCCATATCTCAAGTCGAACTCCTGTCAGTAAAAAAACCAGAACTTTAATTGGGAGGGAGAGAGAGAGAGAGAGAGAGAGAGAGAGAGAGAGCCTTTGGTTACCTTTTTAATGTGGGCAGCAATGGATTTACAATCAAAAACATCGTAGAGATCAAGAGCTTGACACGCAGAGGTCATGGCTTGTATCTGCATCTTCACAGGCATGTCAGTATCTTCTATCAAAGCTTTGCCTTCTAACATCTCTCTCTCTCTCTAGAATCAAGAGCAGGGCAAGCCCAATAACAACTCTCTATGTTCTGATCTTTGCAAGTGTGTAAGAAAAAAGTTCCAAGGAAGCAAATTTTAAAGTAGCCTCACCGTTTAGGTCTCCTCCAAATGTAAAGAAGCCATTTGATATGCACTTTGATGCTGGCACATCCTACAATTTCTTTGTCCTTTACCTCCTCACTTCAAGTTTAGCCTACCCTATATTCTATAAATAACACACTCCCTGTTTGACATATGTTCAAATGGATAACGATGTTAAAGGATAAAGCTGATGAGGCTCAAAATGATCCAAGGTTCCTGTGGAATTTAGTGATAATATCTTCTTCTTCTTTTTTTTGTAACTGGAAATTTAGTGATAATTGCTAGCCACGTTTGCAAAGTTTTTCTACTAAAAGTTCAATTTAATTAAATTAGTGTCCCAACATAAAAATAATGTAATTCTTATAGTTTCTAACTTATTATTTTCATAAAAAAGTAGTTTAAATTCACGCTTTCTATACATTTTAAAATTCTTTTTATCAAAATGTATTTTACAAAAACGCTTTCATACTAAAAAATATTATGGATTTAAACTATACTTTTATTATAGAAATTATTATCAAGGACTATAGAACTATACTTGGAATAGGAGTTTCAATAAGAGACATGCAATTAAGATTATGAGGCATCGAGTTTACGTGTTTAACAAGGTATGTGCGTAATAAATGATACAGTCAAATTCTGATCGTTTGATCTATAGAATGCAATTATATTTGAGTAAAAGGTGAAATAATCTAACTTCAATCAATCATTTTTGTTGACGTGTGTTGGATTAACTTGTTATTTTTATCCAAACTTGTGCACAACTCTTTTCAAGGGTATTAATTTCTACTTATTACATAATTGAATTCGTAAACGATTTTCCCACGGCACCTCCTCACCAAAAACAAACAAGAAATAAAATTGCCAAGATCTTTATAAAGCAAGAGAAATGATATAGATGTTTGACTAATGTCAGAAAAAGAATAACATTCTAAGGAAGCTTTCTAGAAAATTGAAGATGTTTGCTTGCTCGCTAATGTTATTGGGACATAAATTAGGAATTTAATAGTATAGCATCCGACATGGATTTGTCATCTCATTAAAATTCTGGTAACTAATTTAGTCCTATTTTAACTATTTATTCTCTCACTTTTTCGGTTTGTCTTTTTCGTTTTTGGAAAATACTACATAATTTAAATAAAATTCAAAAGTTAAAACTCAAATACATATAATTCCTTAGATTTGAAAAAATTAATAGGACCCGCTTATTTAAGAGACGATATACATTTGAGTTGTAATTTTTTAAATTTCATTAAAATTTTGTAACATTACTGTTCCCTTTTACTGCTCATTCCTTCCTCTGCCGCGAGCTTCGCCTTCCATCGCCGATTCACCTGAGGAACCAACCAGCACAAATACATCCAATTCGGCGACTCACTCCACTCGACTTTTCAATTACTTAATCTTGTATCATGTCCAATAGTATAAAAAAGTGAACATGCAACAATCGAGATCAATGTCGAACGGTGGATCAGTGTTGGTTTGGTTCCTTGTGTGCTTTCATAATTTCTACGGTTTTATGCTTAGGAAAAATGGCTTCATAATTTGAAGTCTTTTCGAGGTTTGTGGTCAATAATCATCTTGGTGCTATTGATCGAAGGAAGGCAAAGTATTTAGTTCCTTATTTTTTGTTTGGTTGGAATAATAGAAAGTAAGAAGAATAAAAAATAAGAGAGATATACTTTCTATCTTTTAAGGAAGGAAAGTGGAAATAAAATATTTTTTTTTCTTTATGTTTGGTTGGATTGATAGAAAATAAAAATGACTATTTTTTTTTGCTGGCTAAGATTAGGTATGACAATAGAGTCGTATCAGAATCGTGTTGATTCATTATGGATTTGTGTCAAACATTAGTCAAACATAACTCCACACATTTAACTAATTGTATTGTGTCAAATTGCGAGTTGACATGTTTCTTTTCGTATTGTGTTCGTATTCGTATTCATGTTGACTCACATAAACTTTGAATAAAAAATTTAACGCTAATATTATATTTTTTTATTCTTTAAAATTTTTAAATATATATATATATATATATACATATTTTATTACTGTTTTTTTATATGAAGTTAATGTATACATAATATATGTATATATTAAAAGATATACGTTCATCCACTTTCTTTCAGATTTTGGAGAGATTGATTTTAGTAAGTTGGAAGAAAAGTTAATCTATCCACTTTTCCATCATTCCTATTTTTCTTTTTTACCAAACATAATATTTTATTTATACCTCCAATTTTTTATCTTTTAAATTTTTCATCATTCAATTTTTTTCATTGTATCAAACGGAACATTAGTAAGTCTATAGTACCCAAAAAATAAAAAAATAAAAAGTTGGCATCTTACCACCATTGTTGATAAAAATAATTATCACAATAATAATAAAAATATATAAAAAAATAATAAAAACATTCGCAAAAAGTAATAAATCATTCATAAAAATTATAATCTTTTTGATATAAAATAATTTATAACAAATAATTATTAAATAATAAATTTTTAAAATATGATACCAATTTTTTTTTTCTATACTTCAAGTCCCTGGCTTGTGATGTACGTAGTAATTATTGACAGAAAGAAAGACAACCTCGGAAAAAGACATTGACTCAATTATTTATGGTCTGGCTCAGATCATGGTCCCTACATTAGATTCTTATTTTGTTGTCTATGAGCTTGGTGGTCAAGAAAAGAACAAGCATGACTAGCAGTTTTCAAAACGACAACTCCGAACATTACTTAAAAATTCCGAAGACACTTTTACACGTTTGCTAACAGCTAGGAATCTGAATAATTGGAAAGAGTATGATAAGATGCATCGGTTGTTTTGAGTATGGAAGTAGTTTGTTTGGTTGCGGTGGTTATAGTGGTGGTGGTTGAAGCGGTGATGGTGGGTAGGGGTAAAATCAGAAATTTATATCTGAATGCCTCCTTAATTACAAGTTTTTGTTCTTTCTTTTTTTTTTTTTTTGATAAAAACAAGATGATGAATTTATTTATTTTGAACTCTATTTTTATATTTTATTTTTGATCAATCACTATTACAAGAAAGAGAGACAACGAAATTCAAACCAGCGATTTTGTCTAAAAATTCGAGTGTTGTGTATTGGGCCAAATGCATCCACAGCCCATATTAATGTAGAGGGCTTGGACCAACGAGAAAGGCTCACTGATTTAGGTAGGATTTATGTTCCGTTTGATACGATAAAAAAGTGAGAGGATGAAAAGTTGGAAGGATGGAAAGTTAGAGGGATAAATAAAATATTATGTTTGGTAAGGAAGGAAAGTAGGAAGGATGGAAAAATCGATGAATTAACTTTCCTTCCAACTCACTAAAATCAATCCCTCCAAAATCGGAAGTAAAATGGAAAGAAAATTAATTATTTGTGTTGAGATGTATCTTATTTGTCTATATATCTTTTTATATATACATATATTATGTATACATTAATTTTATATAAAAATATAATGGAAAAATATGTATATATATTTTTAAAAAAATAAAAAATTGAAAATTAAAAAATATATATTTTTTCCATCTTAACTAAGGGTGAAAATTTTTGACTCAACACAATGACACGACTCGAACTCGATACTAAAACAAGCATGTCAAATCACAACTCGACACGACACAATTAGTTAAATGAGTTAAATTAGGTTTGACTAATATTCGACACAAATCTGTAATGATTTCACGAATCTGACACAACACGACTCGATTGTTACCCCTAATCTTAGCTAGCACCAAAAAAAAAAAAAAAAGTCATTTTTATTTTTCATCCATCCAACCAAACATAAAGGAAGGAAAGTGTATCTTTCATACTTTTCATCTTTAAAGGATATAAAGTGTATCTCTCCTACTTGTTATCCTTTCTACTAAGCAGAGAGCATTAGACTTGCTGGCGTGAATTAGATTTTTAAACCCAATTCAACACAACATACTCTTACTACTATTTTATATTAACGACAAATTTTATATGTTTTCATGCATATACTATTAATACTCCTATAAAAAATATAAAATGATTCAATATCACTTGGANGGCGTGAATTAGATTTTTAAACCCAATTCAACACAACATACTCTTACTACTATTTTATATTAACGACAAATTTTATATGTTTTCATGCATATACTATTAATACTCCTATAAAAAATATAAAATGATTCAATATCATTTGGGTCTCGTTCTTGTTGGCCCAATCTGAGCTTGTTAAGTCCGCAAAATACCGATGCGAAACTTGACTAAAATAGAGTAGGTATTTTTGTAGAAAGCCCGTAAAATCCCATTAAATAGTGTTGAAATTTATCGAACTGTTTATCAACAGTGTAGAATCGGTTCGTATCAAGTNCCCGTAAAATCCCATTAAATAGTGTTGAAATTTATCGAACTGTTTATCAACAGTTTAGAATCGGTTCGTATCAAGGTCATTTATCGAGCAAATCGAGTTTTCTTTTTTAAAGCTTGTTATATGTCCATCTATAATGTTTTGTATGTGCTATGGAATTAGTACAAGGAGAATGTAATATCAAAGGTTTTAAAATGATTATGTTTACAATGAAATCATGTTTAAATGAATGGAAGCTTAATAGGCAGTAGCATTCTAAGCACTCCAATCTTTTTTGTGAACATTATTTTATAATCATTTATAGTATACCTTACTATACAGTAACCTATAAATGTCTCTAGCTCTATTCTTTCAAGGAATATTGTACTGATGGGGTCTCCATTGGTATTACTATATTAGCCCATTTGTTATATTTGGGATTCCAAATGAATGGTATTCTTGAATCAATGAGTCTTTAAAAAAAATTAAACAAAATGCAATGACTTCTATTCATTTGGGATGTAAAACTTGAAATTCCAATTAAGATAAAAAATAGTACTCTACTCTCTATTATTACCGTTAGGTCTCTCAATCTTAACTCGTGGAGCGGGTTCGTGCTGGGCGTTAACGAGTTCATGTTAAAAAGTACTATGCACATGCTCAATTTTTTTTATTAATTCGTGTTTAATGAATTATATTATATTAGGTTCGTGTTGTGTATCAAATCATGTATAATTGATATATAAATGAGTCGTATCTTGTATTTCTTTTTAGTGATTTCATTCATACCCAATTTATTTATTAATCGTGTCTGGTCGAGTCCATTTGTTTACGAAATTGGTGCTTAAAGAAGATTCAACCCTCTAATTTTATATCGTGTTAACGAATTGTATTATATTTTGATATACCTAATTATCGTGGCAAATATTTGACAATTATTGTAGATAAACAGTGGCAAATACCCCGAGACAACCACAAAGAATAACTCAAGTAGTAATAGAGACAAATTATAAATTCAAATATTTTGAGTTTGAATTTTGATAATTCCTTAGCAATAGGCTATATAGGATTTATCCCTTATTAGTACCTTAGTCCCAGCATAAATGATCTGTTTTTAATTAGATCGGAGAAGGAATTAATCAAGGTACGCGTAATCTAACGCAAACACTTCTGATTATTGAACCAAAAATAAAAAATAAAAAATCTCTCGAGATTAAATGTGAGGGATCTCATGAATTCTCTAATTTAATGTCAATTGTTTGTTTTTAATTGAATCGAAAAAAAAAAATTTAATTGAGAGATGTATAAGTTGACCCAAACTGACCACAAAACCAAAATAAAAAGAGTTAATTTTAAATTATACCCCCAAAATATCGTTTAAATCTCAATTTATTTCTTTAAAAATAAAAAATCTCAATTTATACCCTTAAAAATAAAAATTTGTATAAATACGCACTTCAAGTTAACAGCCGTCAGTTTACCGTCTAAAATTAAATAAATAAATTACACTTAAACTCTCTTCATGTTTATCACTTAATCATCTAAATTCTTCACATTTAAAGTATTACACCTACATACCTTAAGAATTCAAATGTGATTAAAAATGTTTCTCCAATTGGGCATTCAAATAATTTTGTTTAAGTGATGTATTGCATTAGATACAAATAACATTATGTAAATACATACATTATTTTGGGCATTTAAATGATAAACTTGATTTTAAACTTTAGAGTATAAAAAAGCCTACAAAATAGAGGGTAGTATAAAATTATAATTCTTTATCATGATGAAATCATATTTTTTAACGATTATATTAACAGATATCAACAACAAGATATTATGTGTTATATGTGCACAAACGCCAGGAAGTGTAGAAATAATATTCTGAATGTGAGGAGTTCAAATAATTAAGTGACAAACATAAAGAGATTTAAGAGTAATTTATCTATTTGATTGATGACTGTTAATTTTAATTATGTATTGATATAAATTTTTATCTTTAAAAATGTAAATTAAAATTTTTGATCTTTGATAGTATAAATTAAAATTGAATCGATATTTCGAGATGTAATTTGTGATTAATACAAGAATCTAAAATTGGTTGCTTTATTAATTGCCCTTTTAATAATAAACAATTTAAAGTAGGTCCACCATCTTATAATGGAGTAACCTTTGGTCTCTGGTGCCGACACTCATTCCCACACCAATGTTCTGTGTAGCCTTGGGGCCAGGTCCGGTTTCAGGCTCGTTAACCGCTGTAGCGCACTTGGTGGTGGTTGGCGGGTTGCTCTCCCTCGTCTTTACATAGCCGTACATAGATGGCTACTTTCTTTCTCTTTCATGCACGGTGCACACAGAACACTCCAGTGAGACAGATTCAGAGAAAGAGAGAGACAGATCGAGAGAGAGAGACAGCTGAATTTTCTTACATTGTGGACAACACAATTTTTACCCATCGTGTATTTGCTCGTCTGTACTTCATCAATTTCATTCCAAAATTTCAGTAATTTACTTCGATTTACCGTTTAAGTTCTTGGGAATGCAATTTGGGGTTCAAAATCGTCACCATATCTCCAAAAAAATTTTGGGTATCAAAAGATTTTCAGTTTTGGTATCTTCAGTGAATTTGTGAGAAAGTTTTTTGAGTAATATTTTCACTTTCCTGTTGAATTCGACGGCTTTGATTCTGGTAAAAAGTTGTTGGAAATATGCTTCATACAAAATCTGAGTCTGATATAACTAGTTTAGCCCCATCATCGCCTTCAAGGTCTCCTAAGAGGCCAGTATACTATGTACAGAGCCCTTCAAGGGATTCTCACGATGGGGACAAGTCCTCATCAATGCAAGCCACTCCCAATTTCAATAGTCCAATGGAATCACCTTCGCACCCTTCTTTTGGCCGACACTCCCGGAATTCTTCTGCTAGTCGGTTTTCGGGGATATTCCGGTCTTCGTCGGGGAGGAAAGGTGGCCGGAAAAGGAACGATAAGGGGTGGCCGGAGTGTAATGTGATTGTAGAAGAGGGAAAGTATGATGAGTTTGATGATGAAAAGGGGTTCACTAGGCGGTGTCAGGTTTTGTTGGGTTTTTTGGGTTTTGTTGTTCTGTTTACTGTCTTTTGCCTGATTATATGGGGTGCTGGAAGGCCTTACAAAGCTGAGGTTACCGTCAAGGTATGCCCAATTACTCTTTGGTTTTCACTTATACTAGATTTTGATTTTTGATTCTGTACGAGGTTACTGTGAAGGTAAGCCAATTTACTCTGTTTGTACTTTTTTTTTAACCATTGGGATGAAAAATGTAATTTGAAATTATCAATGTGATGATGAACTTGTTAGCAATCAACTACTTTAGGTGAATCAATTTAAAGAATGTGTCGATATATTGCCACACATTAGTCCTCTTTCTATGTTGTCCAGTGGGAGGAATGGCTATGATGTAAGGATCAAGGAAATGGCATGTTGTGAATGAAATTACCTTATTTNATTTCTATGTTGTCCAGTGGGAGGAATGGCTATGATGTAAGGATCAAGGAAATGGCATGTTGTGAATGAAATTACCTTATTTATTTATTTTGTTTTGCTAAGAACTCACATGTCATAACTAGTATAGACTATAGAACCAACTTAAAATCATGCTAGCAGTAAAAAAAGCATCAACACTGCCGGATAAATTTCTGAACCCTCGAAATCCATCAAGGAGCCTCTTGGAATTCACCGGAAAATATGAAGTATGAACCACCCTAGAATTCACCAGGGGGTCATAATACTAGATGAGTTCTATAAGAACAAGAAAACTAGAGCTCTAACGATAAGGAACGTAAAACAAAAATTCTCTGCGCTATGCTTATTCCTGTGGTAATAAGCTAAGAAACTTCAGAACATATGTACAAGAAGTTCTGAAAGCTCAACAGTTGTTTGGCCAAGGGAGATCTTTGTCTGTTAGCACCAAGTCTTGCTCTCCCCGCTAGCAATCTTGGCAGTGCTACTAAGGAGTCTTCTCTTTCAACCACAAATAATTCCAAATGATGAATAGAGTCCTAGTAATTAGCCTGCATTAGAAAAAATTAAAGTAATTAATCCCAAAAATAGTTTGTGTTGAATTGGCTGTTAGTGCATAGTTGATGGGAATAATGTTATATTGTTGTGCATTGATTTGGCCTTTTCTTCTAATGTAGTAGATATTTTTCTATGGTTTCAGTCTAACAAATTATAGTTCATGTTCTCTTTCTTTTATGTTCAAATTTTAGGTATAGTTCATTTTCAAGACACTAATAAAGTCATGGTCTTCATTCCCACTTCTGCTCTCTATCGGTTGCAATTAAAAATTTAACATCTTTTAACTGGAAATCATCGAGATACAAATGGGAAGTCTTGCTGTTTTTTTAAGTCATTTATTCTTGTCAGTTTAATGGATGAGGCAATCATTGCAGAGCTTGGTAGTGAATAACCTCTACGTTGGGGTGGGTTCAGACTTGAGTGGGGTTCCAACCAAGATGCTGACTGTGAATAGCTCATTGAGGATGAGCATATACAACCCTGCTACCTTCTATGGCATTCATGTTAGCTCCACACCCGTTAATCTCGTTTATTCTAAGATTACCGTTGCAACTGGTCAGGTGATATTTCTGCCCATTTCTGCCATTTATTCTTAAGTTAATGTATGACTAAGTTTAGCCCGTTAAGTAATCATAGTTCACTGAATGGTGTTGGGGAAGCTCTAAATGAATCCAAATAATAGATGATAGACTAGGTCACTTGCTTCTACAAGCTTCAAACATATAAAATGGCTTGTTTTTCCAATTCTGTATCTTCTGAGTTGCTGTGAAGAACTTGAAATGACTTTGGTTCAGATTAAATTTCTCAGCATTATGGTTATCTATTGAATTTCAATGGAGTATGTGAAACATTTTTTTTTTTTTGTGAATTATGATTGCAGTTGAAGAAATATTATCAGCCAAGAAAGAGTCGCTGGCTTGTTTTGGTGAACTTGGAAGGAACTAAGGTTCCTTTGTACGGGGCCGGATCAAGTTTAACTGTCTCTGACAATGGTGTCCAAGTTCCATTGACATTAGAGTTTGAAATTCGGTCACGGGGAGATTTGGTAGGGAAATTGGTGCGGACAAAGCATCAAAGGCAAATTTCTTGCCCTTTGGTTATCGATTCAACCAGCACAAAACCTATAAAGTTCAAGAAGGACTCGTGCACTTATAGCTGAAGCCTACTTGCTGGCCTGCACATTTCTTGGCTTGCCGCGTCCGGATCTTGGGACTCCATGTTTAAATTGTCCAGCTTCTGTGTCCCTGCATTTCTGGGAAGATGAATTTCAATTTTGATGCATCATGGTAGTGAAACTGGAGTGATCAAGATCCGTTAAGAGGTTGATTTGTAATGTTCCCTTTGCTATCATTGAGCTAGTTAGTAGGATAGTGTGGCATTACAGGAAAAAAACTTGCTCTGTTATAAATTGTAAAGCTAAGGATTTGTTTATATTTCATTTGGCTTTCTCATTACTCATGTACTGAAGCCCTTGCCAACCCAACATTTGCAGTCTATAAATGACATTGGCCAAAACTGTGCTATCAGCGTTCTTCCATATCAGTCAACAGAAAAACATCTTCATATGTATGCCCAGTCATCTTCATGTGCTCTGTGTGTGTGTGTGTGTGTGTGTGTGTGAAAGAGAGAGAGAGAGAGAGGGTAGTATCAAACAGGCAATGCCGCCCAAGTTTAAACTGCAAAGCATCTTTCATTTTAAAACTGCTATAAAATCCAAGATTTGAAACAGAATTGCAAAGAAATATATTAATGCTTGGGGAGATACACCAGGAATGTTGAGAATTAAGGTCCATATGCACAGATGTTATCAAATCCCATGTANAAATTCAACCTACGGATATGTTCTTGTTTTATTGGCAGTTTTGGCGCCGGTGGTGTTGTTGGTTTGGCCTCATGGTTGTGGAGGATGGTTTTTAACAATCAAAAATGATTTTTCTGATATGATAGTGATTTGCAGAGTTTTGTATTGAAAATATGTTGAAAATTGTGGATTTTTGTAACATTTTAACTAAAATAACGCTTTATGATAAATAAATAAAAGGGTAAATTACACAATATCCCCTCCAACTTTAGGTCATGTGCAATCTACTCCTTTTGGTTTTAATTTTAACAAATTATCACGTCAAAACTCAATTATGTCTCAATTAACCCAAGCCGTTAATTTTAGCAGTGAAAAATAACATAAGTTAACCATGTGCAAGTCACATGATCTCAAATAAAAATACTAAATAAATTTGAAATCCTAAAAAAATAATACTGTATATTTTAGAAAAAACATAAATATTGTCTCCCCCGAGGGTGATCTTGGGAGTTATGGGGTGAGAAAACTAGACGTCACCAGAGGAAATACGGGGTTCCGTCAATGGGGGAAGCAGGATTTGTTGAAAAATGAGGTCTAGTGTCGGAAAATGGAGAGGAATTATTGTTTTTTTTTTTTATTATGGGTAATTTGTCTTTTCAATAAACTTGAGATCATGACTGACTTTCGTCATTTTTCACTGTCAATGTTAACGACTTGGGTTAATTGAAGTATATTAGAATTTTGAGAGAGTAATTTGTTNTTTTTTTTTTTTATTATGTGTAATTTGTCTTTTCAATAAACTTGAGATCATGACTGACTTTCGTCATTTTTCACTGTCAATGTTAACGACTTGGGTTAATTGAAGTATATTAGAATTTTGAGAGAGTAATTTGTTAAAATTAAAACTAAAAAGGGTGATTGCAACAACACCAAAAGTTAGAGGTAGTATTTTATAAAATTGACCCTAAATTAAAACCCACCGCTAATTTCGGAATGATGTTCAAAACCCACGCTAATAGAAATCAATTCACATATTATATGCATCCATTTCACACTTCCCCACAAAACAGTTTCATTCAGGCACTGGCAATAGATCGTCTCAAGGCTTTTTGATTGAGACCCTAAAATTTTGGCAGATTTATCACTTGCCAACCCAAGAACTCAATACAGATCTCATACGAAACTACATCAATTTCTCTCTACGAATCCTCTAAACCTATAATCATATATTGTCCCCTCGCGATCATAGACATGTGTGCACCAAAACCCACTTCAAGATTCATCTTTTCCACTCTGATTCTTCTCCTATTACTCGGTTCTTTCATCACTATCACATCCTCTGAATCCTCCAAAGCAAACGATGATGTGGATGATATGGAGGGCATTGAAGAACTCATGGCATTAGATGAAGAAGATGAATTACAGGAACAACCACCACCAGAAGGGGTTCACCATGATAAACCATCTGAGGCTGAGGTTTTAAGCAAAGCTCAAAGAATTGTCCTGGAGCTTAACACTGATAGTACCAAGAGGGTCATTGATGAAAATGAGTATGTTCTTGTTCTGGGTTATGCTCCATGGTGTGCTAGAAGTGCTGAGCTTATGCCTCGGTTTGCAGAGGCCGCAAATTCACTGAAAGATTTGGGGAGTTCCCTTTTGATGGCGAAGCTTGATGCTGAGCGGTATCCGAAGGCGGCGACGGTTCTTGGGATCAAAGGATTTCCCACTCTTCTTCTATTTGTTAATGGCACTTCTCAACCTTACAGTGGTGGATTTTCCTCGTACGCACGCTTTTCCTTTTTCTAATTATGTTTATGCTTATGAAAGTATATAATATAAGTCTAATTGTCAAGGTTTATACAAGTTGAATTTCACCTTGATCTGTTATTTTGGGTGGCTTGTCAGTTAGGGAGATTATGTGTGCAAAGTCTGGACATTTAAAAATGAACTTATATGTATGTATTTTATGTTACATGCCTGTCATGTGCACAGATATGAATATAATGTAATTTGCAATTGATTGTGTTTGTCGGATTTCCTGTCACTTAGGGAGGAAATTGTGATCTGGACGAGGAAGAAAACAGGTGTGCCTGTTGTTAGAATTAGTACAGTAGCTGAGGCAATTGAGTTTATCAAGCAGCATTTGATGTTTGCTGTCGGGCTGTTTCAAAAGTTTGAGGTATGTGCATCTGCTTTGTTGTTGGAATTTCTGCTTGACATGTCTCTTGTAAGGGATTCTGTAAACCGAAACCTAGGGTTAACCCAAAATGTTGCACTAGGATGTCTGGTTGTAGTTGATGCATAATCTGTTTGAAAATGAAGTTCAACAAATCATTCTATGATTGTGGAGAATTGTGAGACTATAACGAGTCAAGAATGCAAGTTGGTAACTCCTACTTAAGAAAGCAATTGGCCGCATCAATGCTTTTTTTGATTGCCGAGCAGTTTGATAAGAAATCCGGCATTAGCATTTGGCGTGTTCCAAAACCCCTGAAATAGATTGTACTATGCTATCCTAGAATTAGCTCAACTGAGTAGTGTTAATTTATGTCACGCAGATGTAGGAAACACTAGTGATGAAATCTTATAGTGTAACCAAGTTTCCAGATTCATATCCCTGTGACCTTGGTCTGCAAGACTCCCTTTTGACATCCATATGTGGGACCACATCCCTATTCAAATAATGACCAATCTTCTATTTTTTCACTACCTCAATTTCTGTCACTTTTTTGTGCTTCTTTGGTATAAGGTAGAGTAGAATCAAGGAGCATTCGAAAGTCGGAGATAAGTCCATATGGATTGCGACTTTATACTAACTTGACATTGTTGGTTGTTATTCCATAATCCACAAAGGCTTCACTGTTAGATCTGAATATCAATAGCTTTTTATTACCAAATTCCAAGTCCAGTGAGCTATAGGGTTTAGGACTGACGTTCTCACGAGAGTAACATTTATTAAAAAGGAATTTTTGAGAGAATAAATATTTTCAGTTGGGTTCATTGTTGATTGAATAAGTAGTGTAATTCAAACATCTTTATCAGCTTCTCCAAGTAAAGATGATGTAGTATGAGCTAACTTTTTAATAGTACGTAACATGCGAAATTTTTTGAGAGTATATAATGAGATAGAACTGACAGTTTTAATACTCAAAAAGTAGATAGAACTGAAATTTAGCTAACCGTACAGATTCAAAACTCAAGAACGCATTAATAGTTGATGTTGAAAAAGTAACCTCAGGGAAACATATTATAGGAAATAAAACATTTCTCTGAGCATGGTGAGTGGGTTTTATGCTTGAACGTGGCCATCTCTTGCCTATGTTGTGCTTTGTCTTGTTCTTTTTGGTTCATATGTGCCTACAGAAAGGCCAGGAGTTCATATACTTCACATATCACTTATATTGTTCGATAGCCGTGTATCATGACCTATTTCCTCCTTGTGACATATGATTATTTCATATCCTTTGCTTTTGTGTTTTCTGTTTTCACCGTAAGGATATTTGTGGACAAAATGGCTTTGTCTGTATCTGCATCTAAAATATGAAAATATCAACTAATAATGGTTACGGGAACTAATGTACCGGCTCTTCTATCCCAAAATTGCTGGTAATATAGCCCTTCCTTATGTAAATTATAATGACAATAGTATTTTTGTGTAATTACTGTTGCACCATTTCCATCTTCCAGCGTCTTTTATTTTTCCATTCTTTTAATCCTTTATTGGGTTCTGTTTATTCATCAAGTGGTGAAGAAGGGTTTTGTGGGCTTTTCTTCACCCATCTCCCCCAGAGAAATAACAAAATAATACTGGTACATGAGCCTGATGTTTTTCTGATTTGTCATTTTGATTTATTGACGCATGATATTTCTCAGGGACCTGATTATGATGAATTTGTAGAAGCAGCCACTTCTGACAATGAAATTCAATTTGTTGAAACAAGTAGTACCGAGGTTGCCAATGTTCTATTTCCCGATATTAAACCTACTGATCGTTTTGTTGGTCTTGTTAAAAGTGAACCAGAGAAATACACTACATTTGGTAAGTTTATGATGTTCATTGATTTTCTGAACATGCTTGTCCAGTTACTGAGATCTGTTTCGCATATCTTTCACTTTCTTCTAAGGATAGAAGATTCTTTCTTGCTAGTTTTGTTTTGTTAAGAGTGAAGTAGCGACCTTCAGGAGCAAAGCTAAGAATTCACTGCTAAGGAGTGAACCAAGAGCAGAACAAAGTACAATTTAATGTTGACAGGGGACATATTATTAGGAAAAAGGAGGGGGGGGCGGGGGGGGGGCAACTTAATAATATTTTTTAATCAACAAAAAAAAGGAAAAAAAAAAAAATTGCTGAGTGTTTTTTTTGGATTCCCATGAACTGCAATTATGGAGATACATTGATAAATGACGTTGTTTGCTTTTGCAGAAGACACCTTCAAAAAGGAAAAGATCTTGCAGTTTTTGGACCATAACAAATTCCCATTAGTCACTGTACTGACTGAACTGAATTCGGCCAGAGTTTACTCCAGCCCAAACAAACTCCAGGTTGCTGTTCTTCTAATTTATTTCCGTTTTGGTGGATTCTTTTTGTTTTCTATGTTTAAATTCTATATCAAGAAAACCTGCTGTTGACAAGTGTTAAAATCTGAGGTAGACGTTTTATGTGTTAACTTATCATGGGCTCCCAATGTTTTCAAGTTGATAATTTAACATCATTTAGTCAGCAGTAAGAGGGTAGGCTGTCATAAGGAGATGGCTTCTCAGTTTGCCTATCTCTTCCCTTGACTGTCAAAATTTTGAAACACTGCTGATAATGATGTAGTGGTTACATCTTGCATGTTTGTCTATTTACTAGTAAAGGGTTACATGGTGACAGAGGTTTTAACTAGCTCTACTTGCCTGTGAGATGATGTGGATTCTATGCCTAAGGTAGAAACTATTCCAAAAACAATCCTGTTTATTTATTCTTCATTCTTTACTGAAGTATCAACAGTAATGCGAACTTATTCAAAGTTTAGGAAAATTGTCTCTGAAAGCTAAAATTGTTAGGACCTGAGTAAATTACTAATTTCCCCATTCGTTTATATCGAGGACCGTATCTTCTGGTTAATCACAAGGCACACTGCTTTGTGCTTTGACATTTTTTCTCCACTATTGCGTATATTCTGGCATCCACTTACCGATGTACCATTTCCATCATTGGAAAGGGTTATAATCATGGTAAATGAAAGATTAAATATGTTCAAATATGTGTCTGAGGCAAATTCTTGATGACGTCTTCATTGTCAACCAGGTCTACGTCTTTGCAGAGGCTGATGACTTCAAGGAACTTCTCGAGCACTTTCAAGATGTTGCTAGGAAGTTTAGAACAGAGGTTGATGAACCAGATTTTTGAGCTAGTGGGCCAATTCTTCTCCTCTTGCTATTCTGATGTCTTATAACATCTTCTTCTGGCTGCAGATAATGTTTGTATTTGTAGACATTAGAGAAGACAACCTGGCAAAGCCCTTCCTGACCTTATTTGGACTAGAAGAATCAGACAAGACTCTTGTTAGTTTCCTGATAAATAATTTTCCTAAGCTGCAAGGTTTAGTTTTAGACACAGATATCCCAAATTGCTGATGCAATCATATTCCATTGTGGCTGATAGGTGACTGCGTTTAATTACAAAAGGGGCTCAAAGTATCTGCTACAGTCTGATCTGACTCCAAAAAATATAGAAGTAATGATTTGATCTATTTTGTTGTCTCGCAAAATGCATTTACTTGTTTATCGAAGACTCATTTATAAATTGGTTTTTGCAGGAGTTTTGTTTGGGGCTTGTCCAAAGTACTTTTTCACCATACTACAAATCACAGCCAATACCAGAGAATGTAAGTGTCTTAATTATTGATTACAAAAAATCAATCTGCTTTGGCCTAGCTCAAATACTCCTAGTTAAGTTCGTATCATTTCCTTATGCAAAAATGCTGTTATGTGCTTTAGAAATATCAAGAACTGGACATGTGTAGATTTGACTTGGTCATTGTATTGGATCTGGTTGCCTCAGAGCATAAAAATCTAAATTTCTTTTTTTGAGTGAAAGGTTTGCTATCTACTTCACATATATGTCTATAGACTTGCTTGAGTTTGGCATGATTGGAGTGAATTATGTACATTCTTCAACCATCGCTTTCTTTTATTTTCTGTCTTCCTCTTGGAATGACATTTAGTTTGCACATAACTGTGCCTTTGGTAACTACTTATGCACCATTGTATAGGATTAAAGTCGAAATTTGAAAAATAAAAAACTACCTATAGAATGCTGCAATTCTATATTTATTCCTAAATGACCTTTTCTACTCACATAACCTTTAATCATGTTTATTTATCCACAAAAGAGGACCTTTATTCAATTTTTGTTATAATTTCATATTTGAAATAGTCATTATCCTTAAATCCGGTTAAATGGAATTTGTTTGAGCACACCTTGTGAAACGGGGGATATTTTCTATTTGTATGCAACTCAAAATCATCTTTGGTTTGTGAAAATTGCAGAAAGATGCAAGCATTCAGATCATTGTTGGCAAGACATTTGATGACTTAGTTCTAAGGAGTCCCAAGAACATTCTTCTGGAGGTATGTAAATTTTTATGTAGATCAGATTTTTCTATCTTCACTCTTTGGGTAACACAACTTAATTTTGACAAAAGAATCTACTAGTGCTACATTTTTTGAAGTATGTACCGTGTGTGAGTATGACGAGCTACAAGGGGAAAAAAACAAGTCTTGTCAGTACATGCCCATACAAGTGATCAGTGAAAAAAATTAAGGCGTACTAATTTATTGGTTTGAAAACAAAAAAATTGCTACCACTGACGTGATACCGCTGCCATATATTTCCAGATTCTTGCTGCAAGTATACAAAATAATGCTTTTCCTTTACTGCAAAATTCAAATTTCCTTTTCAATTACAATTAAGGTACACACACCATGGTGCATGACCTGTGAAACTACAAGCAAACAGATTGAGAAGTTGGCAAAGCATTTCAAAGGGTTGGAAAGCCTGGTATTTGCAAGGATAGATGCTTCGGCAAATGAACATCCAGAACTACAGGTCAGTGTTCCAAAGCTTCATAGAACTTTTAAGGACTGTCATACTAATCCTCAGCATACAAATTTAGTCACTTAATCTGAGCATATTGAGATCATGTTCATGAATTTGGTATGTCGCAGGTAGATGACTATCCGACACTGTTGTTTTATCCGGCAGGAAACAAGTCCAAACCTGTGCGTACTCTCGGACATTCTTTTACGTTTCTTTTTACTCATGCTCTTATCACTTTCTTTTGCCTTATCTCCATTTTCCTGGGCAGATCAAGTTTTCTACAAAATCTAGTTTGAAAGACTTGGCAGTGCTCATCAACAACCATATAAAAGGAAGCCAGGATCATACAACCAAAGATGAGCTGTAGAAAACATAGTGATAGAAGGTAATGCATATGAAGACTATCAACTGCAAAAACTTGCTGCTGATATAAAATTTGGCAGTGATAGTATTTAATGTATACTTATTAGATTATAGACTTCCTAGTTCTTTGCATTGGCTAAGTTATTCAGAAGTCATGCAAAGAGCAATTTTTTCACGTCCAATTACAGTATAACAGTGTCCCCTCCCCCAGGTGTGTAACACAATGCGTGTGTGGAGATGATGTTATTAACCTGTATGAGAACAGATAAGGGAAAGCAGCCTAAGTTAGCCTGACTTATTTTGAGGATATAGCAGAATTTATTGATCATCACCAAAAAGTGAAAGCAATGTCTATGTTTTAGTTGAAATGTATGTGCATGCATCTCATCGGTCGCTTCATGCAGGTGCATGCATCTCATCTTCGCTTCATAGTCTCGTGCACTGAGCCACTCTTTTCGTAATTTTATTAATATTCAACCAGATCTTATTAGTACCCCTAAGATGAAGACCCAAATTCATGCAAAAGAATTGGAAGGCCTTGCCCTACACCCCATCAGAAACTAGGAAGAAGTTTATGAAGCATTGGACTTAGCTAACCCTATTCCTGTCATCATACTGGATATCAGATACATATACACGAGCGCAGAGAGAGAGGTAGAAAGCAAGTCAAGAACAAGTCTCACATCATCCCAAGTCTCACATTATCCCATTTGCTCAAAACAAAAACTTGCAAACTCAAGTCATCATACAAAAGCAAACCATTCCTCAGAATTACACAGTCAAACTGCTCAATTTACACATAACCCTCGGTCAATTTTGGCCTTTCACCGTCTTTATTATCTTCCTCATCAACATCAATTCCATCCCTCTGTTTTTCACCCTTCTCATATTGACCCTTCTCTCCAATCTCCAAACCCTGCAACCCATCACCCCAAGCTTCCCCACCCTCCGGCACCTCCGGTTCCACCATCTTCTCCGTATCGGCCAGACCAGCACCCACCACTCCGGGAACACCTCCACCCTTCTCGGAAACGCAAGAGCCGGAAGGCTCCGTCCCCGGTATGACTCCGACTAACTTATCGGACGATTCTCCAAAAGTGGGCCACGGATCGTTCAAGCAACTATCTTCGGGTTCGTCACCTGACGCTGAAAAAATCGAAGCGGCGTGTGATTTCACGGCCGTGGCGGCTTTGAAAAAGGCCTCTTTGATGGATTCGGGTGGTAGTGCACAGTCTTCGAGGCCGGCGTCTTCGAGACGCGGTGGTCTTATCTTCTCTAACAGCCCCTCTGTTTGTGATGTTGCCTCCATGGCTGATGCTTATGGAAAGCTCCTAACCTTGATGCCTCTGAATCATGAGAGAGAGAGAGAGTTTTATGGGCGAATATGGTCGAATCTGTCGACAAATAAAGGACTGCCCAACCGACTCTGGTCAGATTCTGGGTGGGCTAATCTCAAAGAACCCGAAAGGTTNATAAAGGACTGCCCAACCGACTCTGGTCAGATTCTGGGTGGGCTAATCTCAAAGAACCCGAAAGGTTGTTTAAATTTTCATCTGGACCTTCAAAATTTAAAAATATTAATTTATATCTTAAAAAATATAAATTTATATCAATTTATTAATACTTGTTAAATACTTTAATTTTGTTATATCGTATTATTTTTGTGTCATGTCATTTTATTCCATGACGTATTATTTTTGTGTTGTGTTTGAATTAAATTAAAAATATTTTTAACACTATTTTCTTGTTGAATAAATTACGTTGTGTCGTATATTTTATATTTACAACAATTTATATAATACTATTTAAAAAAAAATTAAAATATCTATCTTTTGCCTATAATACTTATTAAATAGCTATTATTTATTTAACGTTAACACATGATAAAATTGAGAGCTATTTAATGGGTATTAATGAAAGGAATATTTTTTTATTATAAATGTGAAATATTTAAACTTTAAAGGTATAATTTATAATTAGTTTAAATTTTTTTAACGGATGTCAATCAGCTCGAGGTGAACATTGAAATGAATTTGTATTTTTTAGAGTATAAATTAATATTTTTAAATTTTAAGAGTATAAATTAAAATTTGAATAATCTTTCAAATTACAAGATTAACCTAACTCCCAATGGATGAATTGAATTTTAGTTTGCACCCGAAAAGGTTTAAAAATTATATTTTATATACTCAAAAATAAATATTTTTATATTATACCTTCAATGTATTAAAAATATTACAACGACAATAGAATTTTAATCAAAAGCCGTTGACTCATTGTTACATTTTTGTTTAATGTAGGAGGTAAAACACATCACGTGATATAATATTATGATATAATATTATGAATCATGGATATGAACAACAAAGCATTTCTGATTGAATCACATTCAGAAAAACCATAGAATGAAAGGATGAAATACAAACATTCATGTTAAACAATCACAAGAAGATCAATCAAATGGGTTTATGTACTTATATTAATACACATTGCAACTCAACAACCCTCCTGAAGAATAGAATGTTACAATTGCACCAGAATGAATAGGGTGTACCAGTAGCAATTGTATCTGACTGTAATGCCAGAAACAAGGCCACCAAAACACTCTTCTTCTTTTTTTTGAGAGGGGGAGGGGAAGGGAGCCAAAACACTCTTCAACATTCGCATCCTGTAGATCNTGGGGTGTACCAGTAGCAATTGTATCTGACTGTAATGCCAGAAACAAGGCCACCAAAACACTCTTCTTCTTCTTTTTGAGAGGGGGAGGGGAAGGGAGCCAAAACACTCTTCAACATTCGCATCCTGTAGATCTTTGCTGCCGCCCTCCATCCGCAACATCAATGGTATCAGGAAGATATCTATTCACAATCAACAATCAGAAATTNGAAGGGAGCCAAAACACTCTTCAACATTCGCATCCTGTAGATCTTTGCTGCCGCCCTCCACCCGCAACATCAATGGTATCAGGAAGATATCTATTCACAATCAACAATCAGAAATTCAGTGCTTTCTGTTAGTACTCCATGAACAAATTCTCATTTCAATTGAATATGACAAGATCCCAACCAAAACATGATGCATATGACAATATAAAACAGCTTATAAAGCTTTGAGTTGAGATCCAGAAATAATTTAACCATCTCTATGAAAACCAAGCAGTGCTCTGACCTCTAACATTACATTAAGGTACTTACACCCAAGTTTTTCATTATGTTCACAGATATGCAATAAAACCTAAATTCTCACTCCTAGGATCCAAGGAGGTATTTTACTGTTTTAGGAAGGATTCAAAGTCATACAGCTCCCTGTAGTGGCCAGACAGAGGAAATGCCTTCACGGTTGCCTGACCCTTTCAAAAGGTATCACAATTTTTTCATTCGGATTGATTTCTCCAATTATGTGGGCTCATTGCCCAGTGCAATGGTAATAAGCTCGAGCTAACAAACAGGTGTGGGTTCGAATCTGATGGCATCCACTTTATGCATAAAATGTAATAGGTTATGTTTGCACCTAGTCTGTCCCTCCTAGTTCCTTCAATTANTTCGAATCTGATGGCATCCACTTTATGCATAAAATGTAATAGGTTATGTTTGCACCTAGTCTGTCCCTCCTAGTTCCTTCAATTAATGAAGAGCAAATTGGGTAATGACATTATATAACTTAAATATAAATCAGGCCTATAAAAGCTCCACTAATTAAATAGAACTCCGAAAAGAAATCAGTTCAAAGCCAGGGGTAAAAAATGGAGGTAGAAGTAGAATAGCATTCAAACTCAAACAAATGAACCGAACTGAGATGAGCCAAGCATCAAACGGCTTAAACTCGGAAGAGTTTTTGGGCTTGACTCGCCTCGTGATGAATTTCAAATATCTTGTTCAATCTCAAGTAGTAATTGTTTTTGTCCAAGCTTGGGCACAACTCGACTCGGCTTAGTTTGAATGAACCGAGTTTAAGCTTGTGTCCGAGATTATACTCGAGTGTAGACTTGTATTCGATATCAAGCTTGGTTTGTCCATTCATGTATGTAACTATTTATATATGACATATTATATCTATGTTCATGAGCCGAGCAAGCCGTTGCTCTGCCCGGACTCAACTTGTTTGTTAAACAAGTTTGATACCGAGCTCGATCTCGAGCTCGGTTCATCGGATGAATGCACAAACTTTAAATAGCTTCTATCCAAGCCGATCCCAAACTAACATTTCTTCGTCTGGTTCGTTCTTGAGAGCATTTTTGGCTATACACTGGAAAGCTGCTTCCACATTAAATCCTTCTTTTGCAGAAGTCTCAAAATAAGGTATGTTTCCCTTGGAAGCACACCATGCCCTAGCTTTCTTCTCAGAGACCTGAACCAAAAGAGAAGCCAATATGTGCACAGAATTAACAGCAAGAACTGCGGCACTTGTATCCCAAAAAACCAACAAGAACTCATTAGTGATAATGGAAGTATGTATGTCACAAGGGAGAGTAACCAACTTACCACCCGACTGTTGCCACCATCAATATCAACCTTGTTTCCCAATACAACAAATGGGAAGTTTTCGGGGTCAGAGGGGCTGGCCTGAAAATTAAAACCATACATTTTACCTCAGTTATTGGTTTGCAAAATTTAACCATCGGAGCAGCCGAGCAGAAAATAATTACCTGGATGAGGAACTCTTCCCGCCAGTTGTTTAGATTATCAAATGATTTCATGACATTCACATCATACACAAGGACACAACAGTCTGCCCCACGGTAAAAAGCCACCCCAAGGCTTTGAAATCTTTCTTGCCCAGCTGTATCCCATATCTGGAAATGAAAGGAGAGGAAAATGTTAGTTTCAAAGAATTAAAAGTGACCCTTACAAGCTAGTTCACATTTTCACCTCCGAAGGAAAACAATTCAACACACATTGCCACTTTCACATATGAAACAACAGAAAATGAATTGAAATTCGGTGGGCATGCTTCCTTCAACTGCACTAAACTACATGTAGTGCAGAAATGGGAAAATAGGCATGAGAAGATCCAATAAAAAGTAGCCTAAATTTAATAAATCTAATCCTGCAGGGAGCATGATATGTATATCTGATAGTTCAGTAAAAAAAATCAGAAGATTAAAGAATACAAAACGCTGCTCAGGATTGACTGATACTGATTCTCTCAATGTCTGTCAAATAACTTCCAAGGTTTCAAATAAGGTGTTCTATTTCCATGAATATATCAGCACTAGCTACACTAAGCTCGTTAGTTGATTCATAGATATATTATCCCAAAGAGAAGAGATGTGCCAGCAAAGGGAATGACAGCACTCATAATTTGAGCCAACTTCCACAAATAACACTTTTCTTGAGTTCCAAAGAACCAAAAATTAGTGTAGCATGTCCCTTACAGTTTGCAATAAAACCACACAAATAGTAATAGAGACTATGATAAGAAATACACAAGCACAAAAGGTAGAATCATGCACTTCTCATATTTGAGGGTGGCAGGAGACGCCACTCAAGATAACAACCATTGGTCACACTTCAAGTCATGGACTAGTGACGAACAGAAAATCTTTTATAGCAGCATATTATGCTGTCTGTGTTTGTTTGTATTATGGCCTTTTCATTCGCTGCCTAAACTACCTAACCAGGACAATCGTCATATCTGTGAATCTGCCAAGCAACGCTCACTCAAACACAATCATCTCCCTACAAAAGTCTGTATCAACCTCAAAACAGCTAGAAGAGAGCCCAACCAGAACAGATGAATCATTGATCCCTCAACCTATTTCAGCTTCTAAATATGATTAGTTATCTTCAAGATGACCACGGAATAAGTCTAACACAAAGTTTTTCCTTTCCGAAAATGTAAGCACACATTAATCTTAAAACACACAGGAGTGGACAAAAGGCACACTGGATCATAGGAAATGATGCTCCGAGTATTAGCTACTATTTGATGGGTAAAGCAATGTACATAAGGTCCACATGTCTTGTAGCGGTGAGACAAGACTTAAGACATAATAGCCCCATAATCAACTCAACAAAATCTAGAGCGACCTATTTTGAATTTGACTAAATGGACCTTCTGCACTTCTTGAAATCCCAAGAATTGATGTTCATAGACATTTGATTAAAAGTTATGTCCTGAATCAACACCTCTGATAACCCTGCTACCTCTACAAAGACTAATTTAAAGCAATACTATGAACACTGACTCAGCAAATTCTGCTGCATTATGTTATTTATAAAAGATCTACTATTGAAAAATGGAAGCTTCCAAAGCAGTTATGCCTTTCAAAACATATACAATAGATAATTGATTAAATTCATTTGTCAAGTTGTAATAGAAAATCAAAGGAAACAAGATAACAGCAGAAAGTTTAAAAAAAATCAATTTAATTAATGAATTGTGAAGTCCGAACCGTCACCTGCAATGTGAACAACCTATCTTCAAACTGAACTTCTTTTGTCAAGAAATCAGCTCCAATTGTCGCCTTGTACTGGTTACTGAACTTACGATTCACATACCTAAACAGCATTAATGAAGAAAAAAAATCACATATTAGATCCCCACATTTTGAAAACTGCTAATTAGAAAAGCTAGGGTCTTGAGCATACTGATTCATCAGAGATGTCTTCCCAACCCTACCAAACACCAAACAAATACAAGTAAGTGAAAAATCCAAACATAGTTAATTCCAAAAAAAACAAATGTAAGTACATTTTTGTTAGCTTTTGAGAAGTATTTTCAGCACGAAAGCAGGAAAAAAAATGCTGTAGTTTTTTCATTCAGAATCAATACAAAAAATGCTGTACCCAAAAATTAAAATCACACTCTGGCTTTAATTTCGAGATCTGGTGTTTGGTTTGTGAGAAAATGTAAGCCAAAAAAGGAACAAAATTTCTAATCAAATAATCCCCAAAACAAAACAATTGAGTCTCTGAAACTAAGACCCAAGCAAAAACATAACATGTTTAACTAGAATTTTTTACTTGCGNCACACTCTGGCTTTAATTTCGAGATCTGGTGTTTGGTTTGTGAGAAAATGTAAGCCAGAAAAGGAACAAAATTTCTAATCAAATAATCCCCAAAACAAAACAATTGAGTCTCTCAAACTAAGACCCAAGCAAAAACATAACATGTTTAACTAGAATTTTTTACTTGCGATTTCTTCAAACCTTCGAGATCGGAGAAATTGATGTGAGAATTGAAAACAAACTTACCCGCTGTCTCCGAGGATTATGACTTTAAGAAGCATACGCCTTCGAGACGCCATAGTATAGATAGATAATCAAAAAAGTTACGAAATACTAATAGACTTCGTATTAGGAATTGAAAGTGTTTCTATGTATAGAGAAAAGACAGAAATTCTTCTAGTTTTTCGGAGAGAGGCCCAACGAAACACAAATTAAAGCACACACGCCACCCAACTGCAAAATTGTCTTGTTAATGTAAGTTCGGACGAAACACAGCGAGGATACGGACCATACGGTTTTAAGATTCTTTCTTATTGCCATAATTACCCTTCTTTAGGGGTAATTCAAATTACACACGAAAATTTTTTCCATTTTTGTTACGCCTTAAAGATTAAATTTTTTATATTTAACTTTCAATATATCAAAAATATTATAATATGACTTAATGATGCACAAATTAATCTTGTGCAAGATCAATAGTCGAGTATATATAAAAGTATAATTAATAAACAATAATAATATAATTAATAGCACAACAGTAAATAATGCTCTGTTTGGTACGATAAAAATATGAGAGGATAGAAAGTTGGAAGGATAAATAAAACATCATGTTTGGTAAGAAAAGAAAGTAGGAAGAATGGAAAAGTAGATGGATTAACTTTCCTTCCAACTTACGAAAATCAATCCCTCCAAAATCAAAAGGAAAGTGGATGGAAAGTTAATTATTTGTGTTGAGATGTATCTTATTTGTCTATATGTCTTATGTATATTTTAATTTCATATAAAAATACAATGGTAAAATATGTATATCTATTTTAAAAAATTAAAAATTAAAAATAATAAAAATTTTAAGTTAAAAAAATATATATTTTTTCCATCTTAACTAAAGGTAAAAATTTTCGACTCAACACGATAGCACGACTCGAACTCGATACGAAAATAAATAGGTCAACTCACAATTCGACATGACACAATTAGTTAAATGAGTTAAGTTAGGTTTAATTAATATTCAAAACAAACTCATAATGACTCAACACGAATCTGACACGGCAAAACTCGACTCTATTGTCACCCCTAATCTTAGCCAGCACAAAAAAAAAAAAACAAAAAAAAAAAAAATAAGTCATTTTTATTTTTCATTCATCCAACCAAACACAAAAGAAGGAAAGTGTATCCCTCCTACTTTCCATCATCCCTATCAAATGGAGCATAAGAGCAGACACGTTGATATATAGTGGTTCAGTCCGAGTGGCCTACTTCACTTTCGAGAAACAACATCGGTGGCTGGATGTCTTTATTGATGAATTAAGTAACCGAAAAAATATACTCTGAAAATATTACAATGTTTTAGGAGAGAGAAGATATATGTGTAAAGAGGACAAGAAGTAGAGGTTTCAAGAGAATGTCCTCTATTTGGAGATGACTTACATTATATATGTATGGTGAAAAAGTGACGTGAGGAAGTGGACATTATTTTTTTTGGTAAGTACAATCAAAGTAGGATTGAATATCTATGAGTGTGTATCTCGATAGTTTCTTCCACATACTCTTATCTCTCGAGATTTTTGGGTTCTTGAAGTGAGTTGAACTGATAAAATGGGCTTAAACCACCCTTTAATTGACTTAGCCGTTCTTGATTTATTGGACTTAACCCAATTAATTTTGGACTTGTCATAACTCTTTTGTTAGTTTTTCATTAATTTTTTCGATTGTTTCAATGAATTAATTTACTTGACCGGAGTAATATTAACCGTCAAAAAACTGGAAGTCGTCAGCGTTACATATGTGTCCACCGTTTGTGAAAGCCCTCCTCTTTTTCCTTTTTCAGATATAATGTTTTGGTTCCTTTATTTAACTAAAGTAAATGGTTGGAAGACTTGGTGGTGGGACCTACAAGAATTGCCATGTCATTCGGGAAGAATAATTTGGGAAGGAAGTCGAGAAGCATAGCATTACTCCAACACAAAAAACTCAAAACATTTTTGGCTGGAAAAGGGGTGTTTCTTGTCTTATAACATTTGATCTAATGGTACTCTTTATTTTGTAAAAATTTTATCTTCTTGAAATAATGGTTCAAGTCCCTCTCCCCTTTCCCCTTTCTCTTCCCCCTTCCAAAAAAAAAAAAAAATGCGAGGAGGAGAAGGATGAGCAAACATAAAAAGAATGAGAAAAATTTTGAAAAAATATTGGACTGTTAGACCATGACAACAGTATCACGTAGTGTACCCATCTATTAATAAGTAAATAAATTTGCAAGTGAATATTACAAAAATTTATAACCACTCAATCATAAAACGTCCATGATAAAAAGTGGGCGCCATTTTATTCATTAAAGTTAGATTGAGTGATTGAAAAACTCAAAAAAAAATGTGAGAAAAATATTAGGGGGGTTAATTTGGTTCGTCATATTAATAATTTTAAAATGATATGAGATGTTCAAATAAATTGATAAGTTGAGAATTTAAAAGTTTTTATACTTTATCATATAGACGATAATAATTGTATGAAAGTATTATTCTTTCTCTCCCAAATGGGAAATTGATGAATTCATCATATCAACCCTTTAACTAAGATGGAAAAAATATTTTTTTTAATTTTTAATTTTAATTTTTATTTTTTAAAAACATATTTTATCATTGTTTTTTTAACATGAAATTAATGTATACATTTATGTTATTAAATGCACTATTCATCCAGGCCTTGGACTATTTATGGTGATAATATCGGGCAAAAAATATGTGTCCAAACATGGGTATAAGTGGGATAAGGTGGGCTCATACATTATTTTATTCAATCCCTCTTTAGTCTTTCCCAATATCCAAAGTCAACACACCCTTAGAGCATCTTCAACAATACTATTTATTTTAGAGAATATATTTAATAAAAAGTTATAATAGGGAGTAAATTTTTAAACATTACTTCAATAGGATTCTCTATTCTTATCATTTTATATTTTGTCATTTTTAACAATAAATTTAGATTCCCTTTTATTTTTTCTCTATTATTTTAAATGAGATGCGTTTATTCTAAATATCTTAGATGAAAAGACAAATATATCCTCTCTCTTTTTATTCAAAAATAATAGAGTAGAAATTGAGTTTAACTCCCAAATGTAGAGGGCTAAATTGAAAATTTTATTTTAGAGAGTCTAAATAAAGAGTCCATTAGAAAAAAAAATTTAAAAATTGACTTTTTATAATAAAAATTGTGTGGGAGCAAAGAACCTATTAGAGATACTCTTACTCCTTCCCCCTTTATCTAGAGTACTCCACATCCAAAGAAAACAAACTCATTTATCACCTTTAGGTTTGATATAATTATATGAATAAGTTATTAATTATTTCAACCAAGTGCATTATTAAAATACTAGTTATTTTTCGTGCTTGAAAGCACGGAATAATAAAAAAAATAATCAACAATAAACATATTTGTATTCACACTTAAAATCAAATTGCAAAGATAAATGAGAAATAAAAGAATTTAAGCACTGATTATATGGAGCGAGAGGTGGTAGTGATAGTGGGCAACAGTGGCGATGGTAGAAGACGGTGATAATTGTGATAGATGATGACAACCGATTGTAATGATATCAGTTATAGGTGACAATGGTGATGATGGTTGGGGTAAAGTAGAGGTGATATGGTAGGGTGATGGTTGAGATAGTAACGGTGATGATAAGGTGGTGGCAATGGTGGTGGTGGGGTTACAATAGTGAAGGTGGTGGGACGATGGTGGTAGTTGTTGTGAAAGAGGTGATGGTGATGGTGAGGTGATAGTGACAATGACAATGGTAGTGGGGCGATGGGTGTAGTAGGGTGGTGACAGTGGTGGTGGGCTGACGGTGGCGGTGATTGTGGTGGGGCGATGGGGCTAGTGGTGGTAGAGGTGTTGGTGGAGAGGTTTTCAAACACTATTTTTTTACAGTACTTATGAGAAGTTATAAGTATTAAAAAACACTTTTAAAAAATCATCTCAAACACACTCTTAGAGCCCTATTTTTCATATTAAATTAGAAGTGTTATTATTAACCGTCAGATTAACTTTAAAGTAAAATTTAAAAAGATATCAACCGCGAATAGCAACAATCATTTTGTTTATTTTTTGAGATTTAAATTTTATTGTACTTTATTATATAGATTATCAGTTATTTAAATTTTTAATATTTTTTTGTGGTATCTTAGATAGATTTGATTTTAAATTTTATTTTTTGAATTATTATTTTAAAATTTAGTTATTGTTACATTTTCGATTCAAAAGGGTAATACTGTTTATAATGTGTTATTTTACACTAGGATATGTTATCCTCAAACATTCTTCAATATATAAATACAATTTTTAGTTTAAATGTAATTCTAAAATATATATGTTCACCAAACATCCAATGTTTATTAGAACACACTTTGTGAAGTTTATTTTTAAGATGGATTTTTAGTTTGAGAAATTATGCCAAATATAAAAAAATGATATTAATCCCTACACTAAACTACTAACATTAACCAAACATTAAATATGAGATTTTATGTGAATTGAAGCACGAGTATTTCATTTTCATTCTCAATTAAGATTATCGTCATTTAAACATGACCGCATTAATCGCAAAAGAAATATGATTATCAGAGGACATCTATAGGTTGAAAATAGGTGCCTTTCATAGCTTATCTTATCTTATTATATATATATATATATATATATATATATATATATATATATATATATATTATGAATCAGCACTCGTGCCTGAAGGCACTACGTTACTCGTAAAATATTGTAAATATTTTTTTCATAAATAAATGCAATGTATAATATAATTTCAATAATATAACAATCAAATTAATATTGTTCAATCTGTATACAAAACATTTATAATCAAATCTTTATATAATGAAAGTCACTCTACACTACTGTAATATATTAATTAAAAAATTTGTAAAAATATAATTATTATTGGTTAAATATTCACAACTTTAACATTTTTAATAAACTTTATCTCAAATTTTTAAAAAATATAACTATTTGTTTATCTACAGGTATCTACCTAAAGTTTATAACATTATTTCTGCACCATTTTTCTAATGTGAGTTCGTGTAACTTTTGTAAGGAAAACATCCAAAAGTTTCATATGAATTTTCGTAGATGTAAAAAATTTTGTTGAGTAATTAAAATCAGTTTTCATCTGCGTTCAACTTAAATATTTATAAAATTCAACCAAATTTAAGTTTGGGTGGGATTTAATTCATCATTATCAAACTATTAAGTCCACTCCTTCTATATATATCCACCTCATTAGTAACTAAGTTTACCCCATACTACATACACCTCGTTTAATAAGTAAACTCACCTTATATTTTGTCATAATTAGGGTTTTATTCTCTATTTCATTTGATGTACTCACAAAAATACTTTTTAATATGAATTTTTCCACTGAGATACACGTTAGTATTTCTTTTCAATTTAATTATATATTTGATTTTATATTTGTTGTATGAATTTTTATTATTTTCAGTATGTTTTGATATCTCTATCAAGTTTAATAATTTTTTATTTAGAATGTATATATGTGTGTGTATATATATATGATTTTCAGATTATTTGTTATTTTTTTAATCTTGTTTAGGTTTTATATCTATACTTCTTCTTTTTTTTCTTGTTCGATTTTGCATTTGTGCTTGATATTTTTTTTTTCTTGTCCGATTTTGCATCTTGTGATTTCACGTTATGTAGTTTTACTTGTTCCTTTAATTTTTGTTTGATTTTTTTATTCCTTCTTATTTTGGTTTACTTCTTTCTTTCTTTTTCTTTTTTCTTATTTTGTTATTTTCTTTTTAAAAAAGATGTATGTAACATGAGGTGGATATAAAAATGATAGACTTAATAGTTTAATAATAAGAAATTAAATGGGGGTGAAAATAACCTCACCCTTTATGTTTTTGCAAGAATTTATCTTTTATACACGACAGTCAAATTCAGTTCAATTCGAGTTTTTATTATAATTATGTCAAACCGAGAATTGAGTTTAAGTTCGACTCAATTAACACTTCTATCTTAAATCTAGAAGTGTTAATTAAGTTGAACTTAAATTCAATTCTCGGTTTGACGTAATTATAATTAAAACTCGAATTGAACTGAATTTGACTGTCACTTTTATCTTAAACCTACAAACTATCAATAAGCCTTTGGTTCAATAGTACTCTTTGTCTTGTAAAGACTTTGTCTTCTTAAGGTCAAGGGATCAAATCCCCCTCCCTTTTCCCTTGCCCTTAAAAAAAAAAAAACTAATTCTTATCTATCATGTTCACTATGATGTCATAACTTTTTTTTTTAATTTATTTATTCTTTATTATTTTTACAATCAATTTCACTTTGATTGTAAAAATAATCATAATCACTTCGAATCAATAATCGAGTAAAATAAAATTTGGAGGAGGAATTTCGATCATTTGATCTATAATCTTAAAATAATCTAAGCCAAGAAAAATTTAAGACAAATAATGATAGCCCATTTAGTATAGATATATCACATTACACAATTCAAATATTATAGTATTTTTATTTCAATACAAAATATGACATATATTATAGTCATTCAACTCGGTTTGATGCAAATATTATTTATTTCAGGTCCATTTGTTAATTTAAATTTTTTAAAAATAATCTATAATTATAATTAACGACCTAATTAATGTATAATATGAGATAGAGAGCTATAATAGAGATAACAGTCTTAGAATTGTGGAATGAATGAAAGTCTTACTCAAAATATTGGAGGGAGATGACTTTTCGTATTAGGACTGTCGGATCAATATTTTTTCAAATAATCTGAACCGTAAAAAACTAAAGATAAAAGAATCTAACTACTTTATTATATAGATATATTATGAATCAGCACGGGCAACTTAGTTATATTTTTTTTTATGCCATCATTAATCTCGCGCGCGGGCGTGTGTGTAAGATGGGTTAGGCAAAGCAACACCAACAAACCAATTCTCCCGAGAAAAGAATATCATATAAAGATTTATACTTCTTTACTAATTTTTACAAAATTATTCTGGAGGAACTCAAATATGAATAATCAAACAACGCCACCAATAAAATAATATCCATCCAAATAATTCCTAGTAAATTGAATCTATAAATCATAAATTTCACTCAATTTAATGCTAAACCCAACAATTGATACTAATTTCAATCCCAAACTCATTTGCCCACCAAACCAAAAACTCAAACCAAAACCAACCAACCATTCCATTCTCCAAAAGTCACCTAAGAACAAACCCAAGTCGTGACTCAAATGGTTTATAAAAATGTATTTTTTTTGTTTTTGATAGGATATACAATTTTATTTCTTAGACTCTTATTTTTCACATTTAATCAGAGTTATTTATTTAATCCCAAAGAAACAATCATGTAGTATATATAATCTAATTATGAATTACTCTTGTGACTAAGCTTTGCGGCAATTCCATCCTATAGGTGAAAGCATTGGAGAACCTTCCGTTAGCTATGCTATAGATGAAGCTAAAGTGCAATACGTTCCATGAGTATTTCCAGTTTTTATGCGTGGTAAACACAGCTCAGAGAATTTTTACTTGAACTAGCAACCTCAGACACAGTCAGGTCAGTTGTGAAAGACTTGAAAGTCCCATTGGACCAGAATTTGCTGGATTTTGGTTAAGCACTGTAAAGTCCACCAAAACCACCTTGAACTCAGGAAGGGACCATCATAAGGCCTAACATAACTTGGCACAACAGAAAATACCATCATCATATATTTTTATTCTTAGAATGCAGCCAGTTCTTTTGCAGTAGTACTACCTGAAAAACGCAAAAAACTCAGAAAGTTCAAGCTTGCNTTATTTATTCTTTATTATTTTTACAATCAATTTCACTTTGATTGTAAAAATAATCATAATCACTTCGAATCAATAATCGAGTAAAATAAAATTTGGAGGAGGAATTTCGATCATTTGATCTATAATCTTAAAATAATCTAAGCCAAGAAAAATTTAAGACAAATAATGATAGCCCATTTAGTATAGATATATCACATTACACAATTCAAATATTATAGTATTTTTATTTCAATACAAAATATGACATATATTATAGTCATTCAACTCGGTTTGATGCAAATATTATTTATTTCAGGTCCATTTGTTAATTTAAATTTTTTAAAAATAATCTATAATTATAATTAACGACCTAATTAATGTATAATATGAGATAGAGAGCTATAATAGAGATAACAGTCTTAGAATTGTGGAATGAATGAAAGTCTTACTCAAAATATTGGAGGGAGATGACTTTTCGTATTAGGACTGTCGGATCAATATTTTTTCAAATAATCTGAACCGTAAAAAACTAAAGATAAAAGAATCTAACTACTTTATTATATAGATATATTATGAATCAGCACGGGCAACTTAGTTATATTTTTTTTTATGCCATCATTAATCTCGCGCGCGGGCGTGTGTGTAAGATGGGTTAGGCAAAGCAACACCAACAAACCAATTCTCCCGAGAAAAGAATATCATATAAAGATTTATACTTCTTTACTAATTTTTACAAAATTATTCTGGAGGAACTCAAATATGAATAATCAAACAACGCCACCAATAAAATAATATCCATCCAAATAATTCCTAGTAAATTGAATCTATAAATCATAAATTTCACTCAATTTAATGCTAAACCCAACAATTGATACTAATTTCAATCCCAAACTCATTTGCCCACCAAACCAAAAACTCAAACCAAAACCAACCAACCATTCCATTCTCCAAAAGTCACCTAAGAACAAACCCAAGTCGTGACTCAAATGGTTTATAAAAATGTATTTTTTTTGTTTTTGATAGGATATACAATTTTATTTCTTAGACTCTTATTTTTCACATTTAATCAGAGTTATTTATTTAATCCCAAAGAAACAATCATGTAGTATATATAATCTAATTATGAATTACTCTTGTGACTAAGCTTTGCGGCAATTCCATCCTATAGGTGAAAGCATTGGAGAACCTTCCGTTAGCTATGCTATAGATGAAGCTAAAGTGCAATACGTTCCATGAGTATTTCCAGTTTTTATGCGTGGTAAACACAGCTCAGAGAATTTTTACTTGAACTAGCAACCTCAGACACAGTCAGGTCAGTTGTGAAAGACTTGAAAGTCCCATTGGACCAGAATTTGCTGGATTTTGGTTAAGCACTGTAAAGTCCACCAAAACCACCTTGAACTCAGGAAGGGACCATCATAAGGCCTAACATAACTTGGCACAACAGAAAATACCATCATCATATATTTTTATTCTTAGAATGCAGCCAGTTCTTTTGCAGTAGTACTACCTGAAAAACGCAAAAAACTCAGAAAGTTCAAGCTTGCATGCTGTGGCATAACCTTGTGTGCATGACACTGACTACCTTGACTTGCTCAAACACATGCAAAGGACAAGAAGTTGCAATGATAATTGTTGCAGCAGAGTAGAACAATCAAAAGAAGAAATTTTGAATAGTGGTAACTGGCAGGCAGCTTAATGGCATAGCCACTCCCGTCTCGTAAGTAACTACCAAGCAAAATATGCAGAGCAAGTCAAAGTGGAATGAACGAGTCCGAATAAGCAGATTGCTGGTTGAGTAATTAAAAAAATAATGGATTTATGGTTTGCTCATTCAGTACGAACGAAATTCTTTACAATAGACTGTATGCATTGGAGAATGTTTTGAAGGGGTAATGGATCTAGGTAAAATTTAAGCGACCTATCAAGCTGCAAAATCATAAACCTATTCTGAAGAATTTCAATAGTGTTCCCCTTTTCGTACACTTTGCGTAAAAGTCACCCAATTGTCGTAATATAGTTTATTCACCTTGACTGCTCTGAGCCAATCTCTGGAGCAATTTGCAAACCTTCACTGCTTGACCCAGATGGGTGCAAACCAAACTCACTGGTGGGCCCACTGCATTCACTGGAATTGTGCTCCTGGCTTTCTAATGCCAACTTCCTGAATTTTTTCAAGTCCTCTTTGTACTGTGCAGTGTCCAAATCTGAGCTTTCATAAGAACCATAGATCGTGCTGTGCCCAGGTGTAATACCATCTTTTAAATCATCGAGAGACATGTTTCCTTCCAAGGCTTGGATGATCTGCATCAAAAAAAGGTTAAGTAGCAGCATGTAGATTCTTATATTCTAGTTTCAAATCAAGTTAGTTCAAATTGTAGCCAACTCCAGGAATCAAAAGTTGCCTATCTAGAAGGAACACCGGACAGAAGATGTGATTGAACGTAGACATCTCATGGAAACTGAGATGTTGCATTGTTTTGTATAATTGCAAACCTAACCGTAACAATTAATTGGAACCCATAAAAGTCATTGTCACTTAACAATTTTTTATGTCCAGCTTAGTCCTCGTTAATGGGATCTCAGATGATAGATCAGGTAGGTATAGACTAACATTTGGCGTTATTCACAAAAGGTGGCTCCTCTCATAGTCAATCTCAAAATGTCAAGGCTTTTCAGCCGAAATTTTATAAATTAACACATAGGAAAAATTGAAAATTGAGAAACTTCAAGAAATCATAAAACTTTGTAACATAAGATTTGGTGAGAGCTGTAATGGCACCATTGTAGATGATGGAATCATAGGTTCAATGCAATGTAGACCTTAATGAAGCCTTCTAGTTTTCATCCGACACCACACTAGCCTTGGCTATATTGAAACCCTAAAGTTCATATTCATGACAGAGCCAGGGCTGTTCAACCCTAAAATTGTTGTTTATATGAATTCATGTAGCTGACCCCAAAAATATTGGAGCAAGGCTTTGTTTAGTTGGGTTAAGTTTAAACGACTTCATTACAGGGAAAAAGGTTAGAAAAAGCAGAAGCAAAAATACCTGGCTCATTCGTGGTCTGCGTCGTGCCAAATGACGCACACAACAAGCAGCACAAGAAACCATTCGCGCAATCTCAGTAGAGTCATAGTTCTTCTGCAACCTTGGATCAGCTATGGTATCAAAATTGCCATCCTCAAGAGCTTGGGTCAGCAAAGGCCTTGCCTAGGATTTTTATCACAAAACATTTTACTTCCAATGCCACTTGTGCTTTGGAATCAATAAACCTCATTTTTGCTGGAATTAGAAATAGGGAAAGAAAGTTGTAATTACCTATGGATTTTAAATGCACACCTAGAACTAAAGAAAGGCCTCCAATCGTGCAAACATATTCTGATACTGAGGCACACCTTATTCCTCAAGAATAGGACCAAACAAGTCAATTATCTAAAATTCAATTCAACCAAGTGGGGCAAGCCCAAATCATCATCAACCTTTTTCCACTAGCTTTTGGCCTTTTGTTTAACACCGAAACTCCATCTTAGTTTCTGTCAATCACTTACAGCAACCAACTTTATGAAATTCTTGCTACCCATGGCAAGCCAATTCCATCCTATCCACCCTATGACATTTGTTCAACAATGTAGAACCAAAAATCTACAAGTTTTACATATATAGTTGTCATAATCTAATCACAGGCAGCATTATCTATGTGCTCTAGGGGTTGTACTACATCACAGCCATCTGGCATTGGTGACACAAAAAAGGTCCCTCTCACATTTTACAACAAGTAACAGGTTGCAAAAGTATTATATAAAATCATCTGAACTCAGCAAATGAAACATGCACTGTCTGCCAGCTCAGAACAGCAAGACACAAAAGACTAAAGATGTTAAAAAATCACTGCACATTTCTATTCAAAATCCTTTATTGAAATAGTCTCATTCCAAATTACCCAAAGACAAGCTAGAAGTGACTATCCAATAACACGTTGAAGCTTGTAACTTTTTTGCAGATTATTTCAAGTATGGAGAAATACAAAACTCACCCAGTCAACAATGTTATCATCGAGATAGAACTGAGCTTTATCAATAGGTCGGCGGCCTGTGATCAACTCTAGAAGCATGACCCCAAAGGAAAAGACATCTGACTTATCAGTCAATTTCCCAGAAAGTGCATACTCTGGAGCTAAATAACTGCAAGTGGTGAGTATACTAGGGAATGAGAAAATTAATCTATCAATTGAAATTTTGCTTATAAGAAAGATAGGATTATTTTTAAGATACAGTCATGCTCGAGAAAAACAAAAACAATAGTTTGTCACTAATAATGTAAGCTCCTTTAACAAGTCAGTTACTTCAAATCTACACACCAAACGAACAGCTCAGCCCCGTCATATTTTCAGCGAACTCATAAGAAGATCATCTTACCCAAAAGTTCCCATTACGCGCGTGGAGATGTGAGTATCAGTATCAGTATAAAACCTAGCAAGTCCAAAATCAGCAACCTGAGTAAAGGATTCATATACATCAATCAGTTTATAATAGTATATCATTAGAGGTGAGTAAACATCACATTGTAAAGAACTATTTTACATTTATAGGGCATTCAACAATGAACTTCTATCTTGATATCCACACATAAACAAATAAATAAAAACAATCTATGGTCTAATTGGAATATAGAGAGCAAAACCCAACTCAGCAACCTAAATAAAGGATTCATATACACCTATTAGTTAGTAACAGTAAAACACTGAAGGTGAGTGACCACAGTCTCGATATCAAAACTTAAGAAATAAATAAAGACAAGGTATGATTCAATTGGAATCTAGAGGCCGTATAAGTGACCTTGAGTATGGAATTTTGGATTGAAGAGAGTGTAGGTGTCCATAGCATTTAGTTCTATTGTAGGCTGTAATTTTTCCCCTTTTTCAATGAAAGAGAAAAACAAAAGCAAATCAGAATAAGCCAACTTTGTCTTTCATGTCACCTGGAGTGGGATTGACATCATTCCATCACATCAGGATGGCAGCCAGTAGTTAGATACTCATGTCAACATTGATAAATTTAAATAACCAATTCAAAATATTTTGAGTTAATGGCTTCACAATATAGACATATAGAGCGACAATAACTCACAGCATTTATTCATCAATTTTTGCATTCTTGTGATCATTTCTAGTTTATAACTCTTTGGTTTGAGGTGAATCCTTTACCAGGAAGAAAATAAGGAAAAAAACGTGAATCCTATTTCCACATGTAGATATATGACATCAAATGATTTCAAAACAAAATAAAATGATGCCAAGTAAGACTGACATCCCATTTGAAGATTTGATGAGGTCAGTAGGAAGATTAAAATAAGCATCAAAAAGAAAAAAGCAGTGGGAAGGAATGGGGAATAAATTTGAAGTTATGAAGTTGAAATGGGTAAAACCACGGAAAATGGTTCTGAAGTTGTTAACTAAAAGCTAAGGATTTTGAAATAGGGTGCTGGAGTTGAATATTTGGTATGATGCACGATATAGAGTTTCAAAGATCAAAAAGTTAGGGTGGTAAAGATCTGCCTAGATAGGAAAGTGTTAAAGTGATGGAAAGGGACATTGATCACATTAATAAACAGAAATATTTTGGAAACTAGTTCAATCTCCTATATGTGTGTGTGTGTGTCAGTGGGTGGGTGTATGCATGTCCTGCCAGTACCTTTGCCTCAAAATTGTAATCAAGAAGGATATTGGCAGCCTTTATATCACGATGTATAATTTTAGGTTGACCTGCAGATAAAATTATGTTCAATGACAAAAATCACTGATGCCACCACACTGAGAGTAAAAATTCACATAATATTGTCGATGGTTAGGGTGAAAAATAGTATGCATTGGAAACTCACAGTCCTCGTGCAAATATGCCAATCCTTTCGCAGAGGCTACGGCGATTTTCATCCTAGTAGCCCAATTTAAAGGAGGTTGCCCCTCTCCTGCAAGGTTACATATTTCTGATAACATTGGACGAATAAATAATAGATGAACATTTGCACCTTGAAACATCAAAAAATTGTATTCCACAATGCACATGGTGCCCAAAAGTTTGAAGATTTGGTTGCCAGAAATTGAGCTTACCAGAACTTAAAGAAAAATAACACCCAGTTTAATGAATCCCTCCAATGGAGATCTAGGAACAAGAAAAGCAACTAAAAAAAGGGAAAACAAACATAAAATACTATGGAAAAAGAGTGACATGAGATTAAGTATCTATGGTAAGTTTTTAACTAACAGTGATATGCCTATTTAGCGGGAGGAGAAAGTCATCTCGTTAACAATTCTTGTGCTCCAAGCACAAGAGTAATTAGCTACCTAGACCCTCTTGCATAATTTTTAGTGTAGAACATCTTCCAGCATGTTGTGGTTAGTAAATAAGATGAGCATTGATAAAGAAAGTAATATAGTTATCGAAGGACTAACCATGTAAATGGAACTCCAGTGTTTTGTTTGGAACAAACTCGTAAACCAACAACCTCTGAGACTCAGAAATGCAGTATCCAACCAGTGAAACAAGGTGTCTGTGATGAACACGGTTAATAAACTCAACCTCAGCCTGAAATTCACGCTCCCCCTGCCCACTTCCAACCTTTAGCTGCTTTATTGCAACCTCCTTCCCATTTGGGAGGACTCCTTTATGAACATAACCAAAACCACCTTCACCAAGTAGATTAGCGTTGGAGAAACTGTCAGTTGCACATGCTAATTCATGATAAGTGAATGAGGTCTTTGATGAAGATGGTTGTGTGAGCGAATTCTCAGAACGCAAGCTGCTGCTCACTGAAGGTGGTGGCGGGGGATTTGGAACACCCAGTGAAGATATCTGAGGATTCCAGGTAATGCCTGGTGGAGGAATAGGTTTTGGCAGCATTCCACCCGCATTAGCTCGTGGGGGAGGAGCATTCTGTTGCCAATGCTCACGCGGACCACCATACGGGTCATCTGGAAAAAGCAACAGATAGAACAAAACTTCTTTAGCAGAAATAAGGCATTCATTGCGACAAGCAGAAGCAGTAAGCAGCAAAAGGACCAGTCAGGAAAAAAAACAAAGCAGCAAAAGGACATTGGTGTGGATGAAATCTAAGATTATCCAAATATATAATATCCTCAATTGAGATCCATGGGTAGGGAAACCTATCAACATCCAAGTGGTGCTTGAGCACAAATTAGATAGCTTTTCAAGTGTTTATCAATTAGTTCATCCAAAATCTTCATGCGCCCTTGTCAGTGATTTAACACACAAATTCATAAGCCTAAAACAAATATAATCTCACTTGTTGACACCAAAATATATAAAACAAGTTTTGGCTAACATTTCCATTGCAACTTTTATAATCAGAAGGCATTTCCTAGACTCTGCTATTGATCCCGAATCAGCACCTAGTCCAGAAGTATGACTTATGTCAGCTCAAAATCCAAAGAAGAGTAAACAAAGGTGTGATTCATGCGCTGTGTGTGTGGGTTCTTTTCGCACTATTTTTTCTACTTTGGAGGTGGTTATCTCATTTCTCTGGACATCTTTTGTTCATCTAAGATCTCGCCAAGAGTCAATTACAAGGAGAGGAGGTGATGGCACATCAAAACTCCCTCTTACACTAAAAGAGGCGGCTTTCTATAATAGAAGAGAAACCAACTCATATATTTGTTGTGGGGGAAAGGGAGGAGGTGCTTGGACGTCCATGAAATCCAACTAACCCATTCATTCACCCATTCCCCGATTACACACAAATCGTAATGGATCAACACTGAAGTACCCATTACATGTTAATGTAATTATACACCAGTACAAGGCAGTTATGCAGAACCCATATTCAAGAAAAGCCCAAAAAAGTATAAGATGAGATCAGAGCTTTTAATTATCAAAGATCCATATTTTAAACCATATATGGCACAATCATAGAGCTCTCACCTTTAGGTCCTTGTTGAGTTATCAAAAGCGAACCCGCCAAAGCAAGGCGTCTCTTCCTCCTTTTATACCAGATGACAAAAATTCCCACACAAACCAGCACAAGTGCCCCACCAATCCCAACTCCAACCCCAAGCGCAACATATCTGGAATCGCTGGACGGTGCCGGGGGAGAAGAAGTTGGCGTGGAACTTCCATTCCCCGCCGGCGGTGAAGACATCACCGGAATTTCAAGAACTGATACAATATTCTCGCCGGAGAAGTAATCTTGAGGGCGAAAAACACTTAACCTGCGAAGCAGGATTCTTACACAGCGACGGCGGAGCAAGTGAGCAGCAGTGACGATAGGAAAAGGAAAGTGAACAACGGGGTCGCTTTACCTTTCTGTGTGCGGAATGAAGTCGTCTTCTCATTTACGGGTCTAATTTTTTCATCCGCATTCAACTTTGTATGTAATTCTTCAAAAAAAAAAAAAAAAATGGGCCACATTAGCAGATCAAATTATTAGCGATATCGTGTGATTCAAGTCATTATCTACTAAACTATTATTATATTATACGTATATTAAAGCGTGTATATAATAAATATTTGTATATATAAAATGAGTGTGCGTTAAAAAGTACGCTGTGGAGCGTTTATGTTGAGTTTGTAAAATTTAGAGAAAAAAATGTGTTATATGTGTGTGAAATTTTGAGAGAAAAATATTCTTTTATAAATTCAAAAATCTAACTATCTTAGTATTATATAGATTGTTGGTGGTTGAATGATAGTGAATTCAACAATAATAAAATGAATAGGTAGTCTACTATGATCAAATAATCCACAATACACGATGTCTTTATTTTTAAATATAGTAAATAATTGTTAATTATAAAAAATGTATNTTTATTGAGTTATTTTTTCACCGGTTTGTTAGGTAAAAACAATTTTTATCAGTATTAAAGAAAATATAGAAATTCAAAGAAAAATTGACTTTTTCCGGAATACTTCAAATAATTTTAAGAATTTTTTTAATTTTTAACTTTTTTATTTCATTTTTCAAACTTTTACTTTGCACAAAAAAAAAAACCTAGCTCTAAATGAGCCCTATATCAGCGGAGGCCCCGTGATATATACAAAATTTACACATATTCCCATCCCTCCTTGTCATACTATTTGAAAAGTTAGGATGGTAATACTATATTTTTAAATTAGTGGCCGAATTTTTNTTAGTATTTGAATTGAATGTAATTGCTCATTTTTTATAGATTTGATTCATCTTTATTTTTCTTTGATCGAAGTTATTTAAGGGCCCAAGTGTTATAATTGATTGTTTGGGGATCAAAGAGAAAATTAGTACAAATTATAATTTACCTTTTTTCTTTGACACCTTTTTAAAAGTCCAATACATTTTGGATACTACTTAAAAAGGGGGACCAATTCTTTCACAAAGCACATGGCAAATGATACAAGTCATTCCACATCACTTGGAGAGAAAAAAAAAAAAAAAGGTTGTGTATGCGGTTATTCTGCCTTTATTCTAAAGAGGTGTTTTTTTGGGCGAAAACCCAAAGGAATAAAACAGTGAGGGACGATCGAAAACAGATAACATCTTGATGGTTGAACATGATGTTACATTTTTCTCTCTTGGTTTCTCTCCATTTCTCTCACTCCCACCCTTAGTTTTGTCTAGCGAGTGGAGTGGAAGCCTTATATACACTAAACTACCATTAACTTTTAGTAAATGGGGCTTTTTTAAGTCTGAACTACACTACATACAAACAAGACAACACGTGGAATAATTTCAGGAAAATTGAGGGTGAGCCAAGGAACCCCACTCCCCAAAGTGGGTCTGTCATTGCCTCATTGGTCCCGTTTAAAATCATGTTGGGTGATCTACTAAGAAGAAAAATAGAGAGACAATGTATTGAAGAAATTTCACTCTCAAAGAGTGCCTCCAAGTCAACTTATATACACTAACTGCATCTATTTTGTTTAATCCAATGCCACCCTTTTCCCTTTACCACCTAATCTATGTTGTCCAAACACTATTCACATTAACTCTAAAAAGTAATTCAATTCGTCGTAGGATGAGCTGTAAACTTGAATGTTCTAAATTTTAATATTAACAACTCATTGACGTCAAATCATGAGAGATTTATGCCTTATGAATATCATAATTTTAACGTGAATGATCTGTTTTTGACCAGTCTAAAAAAAAATTAATCAAAATTTACATAAATTGACCTAAACATTCAAGACTATTAAAATACAAAAAAAACACCATCCACATTAGCTGGCCATGCTCAATAATTCGTTGTGGCATGATTAAAGGTATCGTCTTATAATATTCTCAAAGCCACAAAACAAACATGTCAATTCCCAAATACTTATACACACTAATCTTGTGAATTTTGTAGCCACTTTTTTTCATGCGATCTAGAGCCTGCGTGTGGTCGGTCATGGACCATGAGGCTAATCATGTTCTCTCATGTCGTGGGGTTGGTAATGGACCATAAAGGCTAACCATGATCTCTCGTGTCTGGGGACTGTGATTGGAGAAGAGTGTGCAGGAGTAAGTAAGCGTACTAAGAACGGCGTGCAAGGCTAGCCTTCTCCAATTTAACAAAAGCTACATTGCATTATTGTCCAGGAGCAAGAGCCAATAGGAACTTACCAATCTCAAAACGTAGTCCCAAATATATGATTATCGCGTGTTTAGAGTTAGTTGAAAACTTCAATATTAGAATTATTCAGAGAAATTTTTTTTTTAATTCATTTGGACACAGATTTATTGAGTTATTTTTTCACCGGTTTGTTAGGTAAAAACAATTTTTATCAGTATTAAAGAAAATATAGAAATTCAAAGAAAAATTGACTTTTTCCGGAATACTTCAAATAATTTTAAGAATTTTTTTAATTTTTAACTTTTTTATTTCATTTTTCAAACTTTTACTTTGCACAAAAAAAAAACCTAGCTCTAAATGAGCCCTATATTAGCGGAGGCCCCGTGATATATACAAAATTTACACATATTCCCATCCCTCCTTGTCATACTATTTGAAAAGTTAGGATGGTAATACTATATTTTTAAATTAGTGGCCGAATTTAAAAAAAAAAAAATTAAAAGAGTGGTAGTTGAGTAGTGAAATAGTTATAGGAGATATGTGGTAAAATATAATCGGTTAAAATTATATGTGATAATTAAATAATTAAAATTTTTTAAAAAGAAAAGAAGTGCGGTGATTACCCAATGACATGAAAAGATAATTATTAAAATATGTGAGATATATTTTTACATTCGTTATGTTTTTTATCGAATAATGACCTTAGGCAGCAATGGTGAGATAGTGTCTATGTTACGATAAATATTTTCTCACCAAGGACTATTATTTAATTTATCCTCAATGGGATTGTGGTGACGGAGTCGATCATTTCAAATCAATAATTATGACTTAAACAGAATATTCTACAAATAAATGAAAACTTCAAGATAACGTCATGAGATAGCAAGTTGACCCTAACCACCAATTTTTTTAAGGAAAATACTATATAATCTAAATGAAAATTTAAAAGTTAAAATTCAAATGCATATCATCTTTCGGATGAATATGAAATGAGAGAGTTTTACTGAAAAAATTAATGGGACTCATTCAGTCGAAAGATGATATGTATTTGAATGGTAGTTTTTGGGTTTAATTTAGATCGTGTAGTATTACCTTTTTTTTCAATAGAAAAAACAAAAAAAAAACCAATAGTTCATGTCATACTCGCAGACTCCTGGAAGCGTTACTCTCCCAGAAATTCCAAAGATATTTACAGGACAAAATTAGCGTAAAAATAGTGGAAATGGGTTTGGCTCGAAAGTTTTACAGAACAACGACGACAATGTCTTCAAATGTACACCACTCTCTCTCTTCACCCTCTAAACAACTCACTGTAAAACGCCTATTAAATCCCCAATTCCTAAACCAAACCTACCAGTACTCGGCCGTTGAATATATGGTTAGAGAGAGAGTGAGAGAGCGACCGACTCACATAAATACTTGTGCTCTCTGAAAACCTAACGGTCTTCGCCTTCGAGGAGTTTCGAATTCCAAAACTCAGTTCATTTATTTTATCGATTCTCTTCTTTCTGTTTTGCCCTATTTATTGAATTACATTAATTGATCTCGTTTCATTTTATGTGCGGGAGATTTCTGGATGAAGTGTTTGTTTGATTCCGCGAAAACGAGAATGTGCAGATTTCCTGTGCTTTTTTTGGATGAGAATTGGAGATTGTGGAGAGGAAGTGGTTGAATTGAGATATTGATTTTGTTTTTCTTGTTTATTTTTTATGTGTTTGATGAGATTTTTGGTGTGAGGATTCATCGAGGTCCGAAATGAGCACCGAAAGGCAGGGGGTAACGGTTAGGGACCTCGTCGAGGAAGCTAAGAAGCGGATTGTTTTTCTGATCATATGCGTGGTTGGACTGTCCTATCTCATGTCTTGTAAGTTCTGGATTTGTTTGTGTGGATTGCACAAGTTTGGTAGAGAATTATGATTAGATTTCGTCCTTTAAATTTGTTCTATACCTGGAATTAAGAATATATGTGAATATTTCTGGACGTATGAAATGTGGAAAGATGTCGGTGGCTAAGAAGGTTTTCCTGTTGAATATAGTGATGTTTTATCTGCGTGGAGTCTGTAATAAGGTTAAATGGCTGCTACTTACTTGTGAATTTATAATTCTCTTGTGTGCCCTGGGCTTCTCAGGTGTCAGTCTAGTTAATGTTTGAATGGTGATTAAAATTCTTAGATTCTTTATTCTGATGTTGCTTGATCATATGATTGACACTGTAAAGTCTTGCTCGGGTCATGTAGCACTGAGTTTCCTTGAACTGCTATTGTATGCAAGGGCAATGCTGGATTTTCTATGTAAAAAGTAAGAGATTTGAGGGGGTCACAATTGAAACCAATTAAAGAATTGATATCTCTATCCCAATTCAGTTGTCTATTCATGGATAGAAGGCTGCATCATTTCTGACATATTCTACATTTTGTATTTGTATATGTTTACAGGCTCTTCTTACCTATGTCTTAGCTATTAATGTCTGCAGCACTTTCTAAGATCTAACGCCACACATTTCGTTTNTTACAGGCTCTTCTTACCTATGTCTTAGCTATTAATGTCTGCAGCACTTTCTAAGATGTAAGGCCACACATTTCGTTATCCTAAGGAAGCTATTAATTTCCGTTGTTGAATCAATGACAATGACCACTCAATTTTCGTTAGAAGAAATAATTTTAAGTCACTCTTACCACACATTCATTGATTCCGTCTAATATCTATATTCTTATCACTTTTAGTTATTTGTGTTCCTTCAAGAAGCATAGTTGCAGAAACTACAAGTGAAACTTTTATATGTGAGCATTCTTCACCACATTCGCAATTTGGAAGGATCATTCTATATGCTGAACATATATTGCAATCAAAAGAGTAGTTGGGAAGGAGCTCTCTCACATGGTGAAGAAGTTGGTTGCACTGACAAACTTTTTATGTATCAATGTTGGTAATAGAATCAACATCTGCAAAGATAGGATCATGCAGTTTGCTCATCTACGACACAGTACCAGCTTAGATTCTTTTGTGAATTTTGTTTTGAATATAGAATCATATTCTCTCACGGAAAGCTTTCCTAGTCAAATAAGGGAAGATATTTTACTGTAAGCTTTAGTGTAAGCATGAGNAAGCTTTCCTAGTCAAATAAGGGAAGATATTTTACTGTAAGCTTTAGTGTAAGCATGCACATTGCTCTAATTAGTGATGACTTTCATATGGATNATTACCCAATGACATGAAAAGATAATTATTAAAATATGTGAGATATATTTTTACATTTGTTATGTTTTTTATCGAATAATGACCTTAGGCAGCAATGGTGACATAGTGTCTATGTTACGATAAATATTTTCTCACCAAGGACAATTATTTAATTTATCCTCAATGGGATTGTGGTGACGAAGTCTACTATTTCAAATTAATAATTATGACATAAACAGAACATTCTACAAATAAATAAAGTTCAAGATAACGTCATGAGGTAGCAAGTTGACCCTGACCACCATTTTTTTTAAGGAAAATACTATATAATCTAAATAAAAATTTAAAAGTTAAAATTCAAATGCATATCATCCATTGGATGAATATGAAATGAGAGAGTTTCACTGAAAAAATTAATACGACCCATTCATTCGAAAGATGATATGTATTTGAATGGTAATTTTTGGGTTTAATTTAGATCGTGTAGTATTACCTTTTTTTTAAATAGAAAAAACANTCGTTATGTTTTTTATCGAATAATGACCTTAGGCAGCAATGGTGAGATAGTGTCTATGTTACGATAAATATTTTCTCACCAAGGACTATTATTTAATTTATCCTCAATGGGATTGTGGTGACGGAGTCGATCATTTCAAATCAATAATTATGACTTAAACAGAATATTCTACAAATAAATGAAAACTTCAAGATAACGTCATGAGATAGCAAGTTGACCCTAACCACCAATTTTTTTAAGGAAAATACTATATAATCTAAATGAAAATTTAAAAGTTAAAATTCAAATGCATATCATCTTTCGGATGAATATGAAATGAGAGAGTTTTACTGAAAAAATTAATGGGACTCATTCAGTCGAAAGATGATATGTATTTGAATGGTAGTTTTTGGGTTTAATTTAGATCGTGTAGTATTACCTTTTTTTTCAATAGAAAAAACAAAAAAAAAACCAATAGTTCATGTCATACTCGCAGACTCCTGGAAGCGTTACTCTCCCAGAAATTCCAAAGATATTTACAGGACAAAATTAGCGTAAAAATAGTGGAAATGGGTTTGGCTCGAAAGTTTTACAGAACAACGACGACAATGTCTTCAAATGTACACCACTCTCTCTCTTCACCCTCTAAACAACTCACTGTAAAACGCCTATTAAATCCCCAATTCCTAAACCAAACCTACCAGTACTCGGCCGTTGAATATATGGTTAGAGAGAGAGTGAGAGAGCGACCGACTCACATAAATACTTGTGCTCTCTGAAAACCTAACGGTCTTCGCCTTCGAGGAGTTTCGAATTCCAAAACTCAGTTCATTTATTTTATCGATTCTCTTCTTTCTGTTTTGCCCTATTTATTGAATTACATTAATTGATCTCGTTTCATTTTATGTGCGGGAGATTTCTGGATGAAGTGTTTGTTTGATTCCGCGAAAACGAGAATGTGCAGATTTCCTGTGCTTTTTTTGGATGAGAATTGGAGATTGTGGAGAGGAAGTGGTTGAATTGAGATATTGATTTTGTTTTTCTTGTTTATTTTTTATGTGTTTGATGAGATTTTTGGTGTGAGGATTCATCGAGGTCCGAAATGAGCACCGAAAGGCAGGGGGTAACGGTTAGGGACCTCGTCGAGGAAGCTAAGAAGCGGATTGTTTTTCTGATCATATGCGTGGTTGGACTGTCCTATCTCATGTCTTGTAAGTTCTGGATTTGTTTGTGTGGATTGCACAAGTTTGGTAGAGAATTATGATTAGATTTCGTCCTTTAAATTTGTTCTATACCTGGAATTAAGAATATATGTGAATATTTCTGGACGTATGAAATGTGGAAAGATGTCGGTGGCTAAGAAGGTTTTCCTGTTGAATATAGTGATGTTTTATCTGCGTGGAGTCTGTAATAAGGTTAAATGGCTGCTACTTACTTGTGAATTTATAATTTTCTTGTGTGCCCTGGGCTTCTCAGGTGTCAGTCTAGTTAATGTTTGAATGGTGATTAAAATTCTTAGATTCTTTATTCTGATGTTGCTTGATCATATGATTGACACTGTAAAGTCTTGCTCGGGTCATGTAGCACTGAGTTTCCTTGAACTGCTATTGTATGCAAGGGCAATGCTGGATTTTCTATGTAAAAAGTAAGAGATTTGAGGGGGTCACAATTGAAACCAATTAAAGAATTGATATCTCTATCCCAATTCAGTTGTCTATTCATGGATAGAAGGCTGCATCATTTCTGACATATTCTACATTTTGTATTTGTATATGTTTACAGGCTCTTCTTACCTATGTCTTAGCTATTAATGTCTGCAGCACTTTCTAAGATGTAAGGCCACACATTTCGTTATCCTAAGGAAGCTATTAATTTCCGTTGTTGAATCAATGACAATGACCACTCAATTTTCGTTAGAAGAAATAATTTTAAGTCACTCTTACCACACATTCATTGATTCCGTCTAATATCTATATTCTTATCACTTTTAGTTATTTGTGTTCCTTCAAGAAGCATAGTTGCAGAAACTACAAGTGAAACTTTTATATGTGAGCATTCTTCACCACATTCGCAATTTGGAAGGATCATTCTATATGCTGAACATATATTGCAATCAAAAGAGTAGTTGGGAAGGAGCTCTCTCACATGGTGAAGAAGTTGGTTGCACTGACAAACTTTTTATGTATCAATGTTGGTAATAGAATCAACATCTGCAAAGATAGGATCATGCAGTTTGCTCATCTACGACACAGTACCAGCTTAGATTCTTTTGTGAATTTTGTTTTGAATATAGAATCATATTCTCTCACGGAAAGCTTTCCTAGTCAAATAAGGGAAGATATTTTACTGTAAGCTTTAGTGTAAGCATGCACATTGCTCTAATTAGTGATGACTTTCATATGGATCTTTTCTCATATTCAATGGTGCATCCTGATCCTACCTTTTGTCACTACATATAGATATTCTTTTTTGGTCTTGGTTTTGCTTTAATTGCATAAGACCTCTTTCTTTTTCGTTCTTTGGCATAGTTGCCTTGGTGATGAGTGATATATCTATTCTGGTTCCACACTCCAGCCCTACATTAGATTCTAGAATGTGCTATTGTATTGTCAAATGAATGATTATAGTTCCTATCTTTCCATTTTGGAAAGTTGGGCTAGTGGGAAGAATGGAATTCTTAAGGTTTATGTGTATATTTTGTCCACCTCTTGTTTCGTGTTCTTGTTTTAGCTCTGGAAGTATTGTNCAAGTCAACTTATATACACTAACTGCATCTATTTTGTTTAATCCAATGCCACCCTTTCCCCTTTACCACCTAATCTATGTTGTCCAAACACTATTCACATTAACTCTAAAAAGTAATTCAATTCGTCATAGGATAGGATGAGCTGTAAACTTAAATGTTCTAAATTTTAATATTAACAACTCATTGACGTCAAATCATGAGAGATTTATGTCTTATGAATATCATAATTGTAACGTGAATGATCTGTTTTTGACTAGACTAAAAAAAAATTAATCAAAATTTAAATAAATTAACCTGAACATTCAAGACCATTGNGTCAAAGGTAGTTTCATGTGAGACCCACATATTATGTGTTCATAAATTCATGACAGAGTCAAGTATGGAAAAATGTCTGGATACGTTCTAGCATCATTATTGATAATACGNGTCAAAGGTAGTTTCATGTGAGACCCACATATTATGTGTTCATAAATTCATGACAGAATCAAGTATGGAAAAATGTCTGGATACGTTCTAGCATCATTATTGATAATACGACAGCTGAAGTATCTACCTTATTGGGTAGAATGCGTTCAGTAGTTCTAATTTTTGCCTGATTAAGCAATTTTTTTTTAAATATCTGGCCGGTTAAGCTTAGCTTTTTTTTTTTTGGTTCTTTTGTCATGATGCGCAACATGCTATCTCTTTCTATTGCAGTAACAAGCTCCTCTGTCTTGGTCAACTTGCCTGCTGCTGCCTTCTTAATAGTCATCCTTCGCTACTTGTCCCTGGATTTTGACATGCGGAGGAAAGTTGCAGCATACCAAAGCAAACCATCCTCAGCAAGTCTTTCTTCTCAGAGGAAACCTCTTGAGGGTCCTAAAGTTGTCATTGACAAGTCTGATTGGAGAAGGAAAGTAAATTCCCCTGTTGTTGAGGATGCAATAGATCAGTTCAGCAGACATTTAATTTCTGAGTGGGTGACAGATCTATGGTACTCTCGCATAACTCCTGATAGACAAGTTCCAGAAGAGCTAGTGCAGATCATTAACGGTGTGCTGGGAGAGGTTTCATGTCACGTGAGAAATATTAATCTTATAGATCTTCTAACAAGGTTCTAGTTGCAGAGATATTGCTACCAACTTTCCTTGAACTTTGAGTTATTTTTGTTTGAAGGTTTCTTTGCAAGGAAATTCATTTGCTTGAGATGCTGCAGGGATATCGTCCATCTTCTTTGTACCCACTTGGAGCTCTTCCGTGCAAGTCAGGCAAAGATTGAGAAGCAGTGGTCGAGATTGCTGACCATAGAACGTCGAGACATGGAATTAAAGTCTGTGCTGGCCACAGATAACAAATTGCACCCTGCATTATTTTCTACTGAATCTGAGCATAAGGTCATCTTGATCTCCTGATAATGTCTAGTCTGCTGTTTAGTGATCTCCTGATAATGCGTAATCTGCAGTTCAGGAATTATTTTAAGGTTGAGGTATTTTTGTGGTTGGTCCATAGTTATGGTAATTTGTCTACTTGCAGGTTCTGCAGCTTCTTATGGATGGTCTCATTTCTGTCACATTCAAGCCAGAGGATATGCAGTGCTCTTTATTCCGCTATATTGTCAGGGAGCTTCTTGCTTGTGCTGTAATGCGACCCGTTTTGAACTTAGCTAGCCCAAGGTAATTATTTTTTTGGCCTTGTGTTTGTGGTTTGGACATGTTCAGTTTCTGTTCTTTATTATCTTCAACTTTCATTTCAGGTTCATAAATGAAAGGATTGAATCTCTAGTTATGTCTTCTTTAGACAAGGCTGATAAAGGAGCTACTACATCACATTCCAAACCAAACGGATCTTCTAAAATGTCAACAGATCGCTTTACTCGGTTTTTAGATCCTTCTGCGAAGGGTGTTGAACTTGTGCAGTTAAAGAAGGATCAATCTGAAACTGCTGCTGGGAAACCTGGAACAGACAATGTGAATGGAATGCTTCTTTCAAAGGATCCGTTGCTTTTCATTGATCCTCGATCAACACGTTCTTGGAGTTCTTTGCCCTCAGAATCCCCCAATGGTAATGGAGGTTTACAACAACACCACTCTGGAGGAGAATGGGGGGATATGCTAGATATAATTTCTCGTAGAAAGACTGAAACCCTGGCTCCGGAGCATTTTGAGAATATGTGGACAAAAGGAAGAAACTACAGGAAGAAGGAAGGTGAGTGTCGGTTGACGGATCCAGCTCCACGAAATTCTTCTGCAGGGATATCTAAAACAATGGATCAAACTAGGCACAAGGAAAAATATGGTGCAACTAAAGGTAGTTCCCTTGAGAGTAGCGCTCCTCTTTCTGGATGTAATGTACGTGCTGCAGCAGATAACTTACTACGACATAGTGATCGGAACATATCAAGTTACCCTCCAGTTATTTCAGAAGAAGACGATGATGAACACAACAACATGCATTTAGACGAGGTTGAATCAGGGAGCAGTAGTGGTTATACGACCGAAGATGATGAAAACAGCAGTGTGACAGGTCTTGATTCTCCTGGTGTCAAGGTTTGGGATGGTAAAAATAATAGAAATGTTTCTGTCTCTCACATTCATCATCCACTTGAAATTTCTGAAGGCCGCAAGACAAGAAAGACGCACAAAGGGCATGCCAACTCTCAACATTTAGCCATAACAGAGTCTGGAAGAAAAAGGTCCAGATTAAGCAGTCAGGAGGTGCATGTCTGGCAAGAGATTAGAAGAACAAGCTTTTTATCCGGAGATGGGCAGGATATTTTGAAGTCTTCTAAAGCAAACGTCAAATCTGACACTAGTGATGAGTCTGAAACAGAAATGTTGGGCAGAATTCGCAGTGGAGCAACTGCTTCACCATCTGTTTCTTCTGTGTCTACACCTGAAAGTCATGGTTTGGCTGCTAATCCACCAAAACATTCGTTTTTGGCAGATACTTTTTTAAAGTTAAGATGCGAGGTATTCCACTTGTTGCTTATACTTTCCATTCTTTAGGCATGCTTGATCTCTCTTATATATACTCAAACGTGTAAAGGATGTGAACTCATTTCCTGTTGCAGGTATTAGGTGCCAATATTGTGAAGAGTGGCTCCAAAACATTTGCAGTTTACTCTNTGTTGCTTATACTTTCCATTCTTTAGGCATGCTTGATCTCTCTTATATATACTCAAATGTGTAAAGGATGTGAACTCATTTCCTGTTGCAGGTATTAGGTGCCAATATTGTGAAGAGTGGCTCCAAAACATTTGCAGTTTACTCTATATCTGTTACGGATGTAAATAACAATAGTTGGTCTATCAAAAGAAGGTGCTAAATATGTGCCGTGAATTTTCTGGTTTTACCCTTTGTTCCTGTATTCTGTAAACCCCATTCTCCTTTTGTATGCCTTGTGTAACTTTTACAGTATGTCCTACAGACCGAACGTGATCTCTATGTCTGCTTCTTCCAGGTTTCGACATTTTGAGGAGCTGCATCGACGTCTTAAAGAGTTTCCAGAATATAATCTTCATTTGCCACCCAAGCATTTTCTGTCAACTGGTCTAGATGTGCTTCTCATCCAAGAACGTTGTAAATTGCTTGACACATACTTGAAGGTCATGCATCTACTCGTGCTTCTTTCTAGTTATACAAAAAAAAAAAAAATTCTCGAAAATTAGTACTACATTTACTGAGCCACAGGATTGGATGTATAGCCTTTATCCTCCTAATAGTGTTCTTTTCTTTTTAGGATGTCCCACAATGTTTATTCTGAAAACTTTGATCTATTGCTTTTTCACTTCACCATTTTACAGACTGGCATGGGATATTGTTGACAGTTCTCTGGCATGGAATATGGTGGTGTGTAATCTTTGAGTATATTAGTAGGCCAGACAATGGAGTTGATAGTGGAAATTTATGTTGGATTTTGTTATCCTACTCATTTATTGTCATGGTGTAGTCACTTGTTGATTCAACCATAAAGTTTGTTCAGTGATTTCCAGTGGTTGCTTGATATTTTAATTCCTTTTGCTTTCTGAAGTTTTCTGATTTCATTTAGATAATAAAATAGTCCTGCTTTTGCTTAGGTTGGGATGTGACAATAGCACATATTATTTCATGCTTCATGCTTATTTGATGAAGGATCTTGGTCTTGGATATCCTTTTTCTCTTTTAGTAGTCATTATATTGTCTGTGTGTGACACACAAAGGTGGTTATTTATATGTCTATATATTAATATTTATATAACTATATTTTGTTTTCATCTGGTATTAATTAATTCATCTTTGACATTTTTTGTGTTGCTGGTCATCAGAAACTTCTGCAGCTCCCTACTATTTCAGGATCTATTGAAGTTTGGGACTTCCTTAGTGTTGATTCTCAGGTTAGATAAATTCTTACTGTAATTTTTTCTGTTTTTAGGGAGAATTCCTGATTGATATTCTCCATGATGCAGACATATGTTTTCTCAAATTCTTTATCTATCATTGAAACATTGTCAGGTGAATAATGTTTCTGGACAAGTTCTGAAATTTCGTTAATACTTCTTTTTTTGCAATTTTTCCCATCTCACATTGGTATTGGATGCTAGTTGACCTAGATGACACGGGACATGAAAAGAGTGAAGATGCTGGTAATATCATTAGGCCTGCGATTGATCTATTATCCTCGAGGAGAGGGCAAATGAATGCTGAAGGCAAGAAGTCTGCATCACAGATGAAGCATGACTGTGTGGCTGATGTGTCAAGACTGAATAAAAATGGTGCAACTCTTTCTCCACCTAAAAGGATTGCAAAGGAGTACAGAAGACCATTTGAGGATTCTAGTAGTGACTCCGACAATGTGGTGCAAAAGAATATTTTTCCCACCAAAAACTCGGGGAAGACTACAAAAGGAGGTGATAGTGATGATCTACATGGATCACCTGAGTTGCTTATGGATGCTGCTGCTGATCCAGCTCTCCCTAGCGAGGTAGTGTCTGAGGTCTATCCTTTTCTTGTTTAACCTGCTGTATTCAACTTTTGCAATAGCTTTATATTAATTCTCTTGACACTTCTATTCCTACATGCAGTGGGTGCCGCCGAATTTAAGTGTCCCCATCTTGGATTTGGTTGACGTCATTTTCCAGCTTCAAGATGGTGGATGGATCAGGTGTCAATCATGTGCAATCATTATATTATGTCCGAAATATCTCTCTGATATGTTAATTTCAAATTCTACCTCGTTCCCAATTCTCAGCAGTCCATCAGATTTTATGCCTATTGCTAACATCAAGTCCATTGTAGGCGTAAGGCTTTTTGGGTGGCCAAACAGGCATTACAGCTGGGAATGGGTGATGCTTTTGATGATTGGTTAATTGAGAAAATCCAGCTTCTGCGTAGGGGATCTGTGGTTGCTTCGGGGATCAGGCGCGTTGAGCAGGTAATCTTGGACACCCTCCTGAACATTAGGATTGTTTTTGGTAAGGGAATATTAGGAATGTTGATTACAGTGCAATATATCTTCTTTTTTTTGTTGAATTCACTGTACAATGCCAAAGTTCTTGATCCCAAAAGAGAGTAATTGGGTCTCTGATGGTCTTGCCATCATTTTTGCTATTTCTAATTACTGTGTTGTGGCCTTGTCCGTTATGAAGTTAAGCAAATGTATTGATACTTGGATGCAGTTATCGAGATTTAGTGGAGAGATGCCATCATCACATGGCTGCTGCTTGTTAATGTTGTTAGATCAGGCTTTTTTGGCACTCCTAACATTTTTCTCTGTATATTTAACTGTCATGTTTGCATTTTTCCTTATGTTGATTTATCACTTCATCTAGCATTTGACATATCTATTCCATGGATTAGATTATTTAACGGCTCTAAGGTGCATCATAATAGCTCAAAAAGTTGAAATACATCACTTTATTCTGGAAGCAAACGAGCTTTACGAGGAATGAATGCTAATTTGCTTTATGATCTAGTTTTAAAACCTGACTTTTATTTTTGAATTTATCAAGAGCCTAGTTTAACTGATTGATCCATCTATCACTTGTTTTCTGGAACAATGAGAAGATTTATGGTGATTTTACTACAGTATTTAAAGACGTTTTGTAAATGCTTGTCTACATTGCAATCTGATTCCTGCGTGATCATATGTAGATACTTTGGCCTGATGGAATATTCATCACAAAGCATCCAAAGCGACAACGACCAACCCCCTCAGCAAACCCATCCCCCCATAGTTCCACTCGTGTACTACCTCCACCAACGCCATCTTCAACTAAGATAGAGGATACCCAGAAACTTGATGAGATAACACAAAAGGAAGCTGAAAGGCGTGCGAAATTTGTGTATGAGCTAATGATCGGTAAACATAGTCCTCTGTGTTCATTGTTGTTATTGAGGCAACATCTTGTTATCATGAAATGCCTGCGGCAATCTTGGATATCATGATGAATTTTGATAATTCAATGCAGACAATGCCCCAGCTGCTATTGTCAGTCTTTTTGGTCGTAAGGAGTATGAGCAATGTGCAAAGGATCTGTATTACTTCCTCCAGGTAACTTGGCTGGCTTTTTTTTTTGAGTCCCCAATCCGAAACTCGTGATAAAACAACAATTATCATTGGGACTTGATCAACTGGATTCATATGCAAAATTTACCATGACAGACGCCGACTACAGACAGGCCTAATTCTTGGGTAAGGGAAACCCAATGCATCTGTCTTGTGGTTGTTATGTTGAGAAATTTCAATTGGCAGACGGACAACTGCAATTCCGATAACTGATTTTTTTGGAGCACAATTCTCCTTTTTTCCTGCCTAAATATGCCACTTGGTTTATTATTAGGTCTCTTTATTCATTGACATTTTTTCGTCTGCTTGACACTGGGATCTGTATTACTCATTGGGTTCTTTTCTATCAACATCTTTGCATACTTGAAATATTTTTGTATGGTGACACTGGGATTATTGCGTTTTGGGAAAAAAAACATTACTAATTTGCATATTTTTATGGTTTTTTAACAGCTGCTGTAAATGGTATTGGAGTTATGCAAGACCTGTAACCAAATGACCATATTGGTTTTTCAATTCGCAAATGGCATTCCTTGTGCATCTTATTAATTAGCACTCTTCACATTAGCTGGCTTGGATCTTGAACAACTTGTAACTGTTGGCTGTTGGCTATTTGCTTGTGCAGTCGTCCGTTTGTCTGAAGCAACTAGCTTTTGACCTTCTCGAGCTGCTGCTCTTGTCTGCATTTCCAGAATTGGATGATGTCTTCAGGCGGTTGCACGAGGAAAAAGAAAAGTTTGGAGAGGTCAAACAGGATTAATAAGTTTTCTTTCATAAGGAAATCATTAGAGATGCAGAGTGATTTTTCTTCAACAGGTGATTTTTTTTTTTTTTAATTTTTCAATTATCCCGTGTAAAGTCTTGTCAGTCACCCAGACAGGGCACATAGTTTTTCTATAGAAATGTTCCCCTATAGCAGAAAATCCTTGTATTCGATTTGAGAATGAGAAAGCCAAGCTCATGAGGTCAGATATACGGTGCATCTGTGATCAATTTTTCGGTTTGCCATTTCGGGTTGTTTTTTTGGTAAACCTGAGTTGCATACATAACTACAAAAGTAGCTAATATATACTGTTGAACATCTTTTACTTGGTAGTAAATCTATACTTACTCCCCGGACCCCTACATTTCACTATGGCAGGGAAATATATAATTTTTTCCCGCAAGTTGGTTGGTATATATTACCCTACCCTCAACCCCTCCCTATAAACCATATGTATCTTGGTTAAGTTTTTTGCTGAAATTGATGGTGACAACCTTTCTTAATAATAATCTAGTTAACGNCCCTCCCTATAAACCATATGTATCTTGGTTAAGATTTTTGCTGAAATTGATGGTGACAACCTTTCTTAATAATAATAATCTAGTTAACGGCCCTATCTGAACCCGAATAATTATTCATTTGCCTAATTCTCACCTTTAAGGAGTAGGATGCTCTCTGCTTTGTGTTGGGTGGGGTACATTCGGTTGGGGAAAATTTTAGGGAATGACATAAGCAGTTGTAGCCATGGTGTTACATTACAGAAAATTTAAATCTCAACAAACGGACACACTGTTTGTGTTTATTTTTGAATAGCATTTATTGACATCAAAGTTATGCCATTTAACAAAGGAAAATAATCTTGCACCAGAACTTACAGNGTTTTATATATACACAGGCAGCAAACGAGGCAACTGTGTAGAGTTTTAGGGTTGGGTTGCTTGAATGTGGGCCTAAATGATGGCTCAATTATTTGGGCTTTGTTGGCCCATATTATCTTGCTAATGGGCCCAATGTCAAACGGATCGGACAGGTATATTCGGTTTCCCACTCCCGCGAAAGCTTCTTCGTTCAAGAGACTGTGTAAAAGCGCGGGAAAATGTTCAAGCGGACAAACCCTTATCGTATGAATGCATAATATTGAATCAATCAAGGAGTTTGAGGAGGTAGCAGTGGAACATAATCGAACCGAACATGGAAGAACAAAGCGAGTTCAAATTCCCAGCATTCCCNTCAAGCATTGTTAAAGACAGCTAACAATAATAAAAATGGGTGTACACCCTCAAATGATGTTCTAAAATCAACTTGTTCTGATCTTGAAAAACAATAAAATACCAAATGACAATATAAGAAAGTAGTCCTAAAAATCACACCCAAGTACAGGTAGGGCCTGCAGCACCTCAAGCAGAAGCTGCCGCTGCCTTCTTCCTCGGAGCCGCTTCAGTACCTGAGATTTTCGACATAAATAATAACGTTGATTTTATTAACAATAAAACAAAATGGCACACATAAAATAGGAATAGTAAAGCACATACACAAATACATATACACTTTTACCTTCTCTGAAATTGGTCTTGAATCGTCGAGGCACATGGCGAAGATACCTCATGCGACCAGTTCCCGTTGTCTTCCTGCGAATCGCCTTCTGGCTCCAGTTATCTAAAACGTTTTTTTTTTTTGCCGCATAAAGACACCATCAGATCAATAGTAGACTAACCTATACGTATAGACAGAGAGAGAGATATTACATGTCCTCTTGCGGGCAGCAGGGTAGGCACAGGCAGAGCATCGGCTCTTCTGGATGTGAAAGCTGCGACGGCCACACCTAATACAGAGGGTATGAGTCTTGTTCCTCCTCTTACCAAAGCTCCCCGTTCCCTTCCCCTGTTCCAATCACATGTACAATACACAGATCAGCTCTGATATATTAATCCATCTGCACCTCTATAATCGAGGGAGAGAGAATTTACCATTGCTGTGTAGTTGCAGAGAAACCCTAGTTTTCCTGGGCTCCTGGCTGAAGAGATGAATGCGGCGATGAAGGGAAGTTTTATATATACACAGGCAGCAAACGAGGCAACTGTGTAGAGTTTTAGGGTTGGGTCGCTTGAATGTGGGCCTAAATGATGGCTCAATTATTTGGGCTTTGTTGGCCCATATTATCTTGCTAATGGGCCAATGTCAAACGGATCGGACAGGTATATTCGGTTTCCCACTCCCGCGAAAGCTTCTTCGTTCAAGAGACTGTGTAAAAGCGCGGGAAAATGTTCAAGCGGACAAACCCTTATCGTATGAATGCATAATATTGAATCAATCAAGGAGTTTGAGGAGGTAGCAGTGGAACATAATCGAACCGAACATGGAAGAACAAAGCGAGTTCAAATTCCCAGCATTCCCATACAAACCCTATTCGATTCAGATCGATTTCATGAACGCTCTCTATGATTCTCTCAATAAAGGAGGCATCGCCATGCTCGAAAGCCCCACCGGTATCTCTATCTCTCTCGTTACACACACTCCATTGCTATCTTATAACCATTTTGCCAATTTGCAACTATGCGATTTGCAAAGTTAGAACCCTGTTTCTCTTCTAGTGAATTTCAGAGTTTGGCTTCTTGTTGCTACAGGGACTGGGAAAACCCTAAGTATCATTTGCAGTGCTCTGCAATGGCTGGTTGACAGAAAGAGACAACCAAAGTCCGATGCTACAGCTGATTTGTGTTTGAAACCAAAATATGTTGATCAATCTGCTTCAGATGATGAACCTGATTGGATGAGAAGCTTTGTGATGAACAAAGACAATGAAGTATCACCAGAGAAGAAGGTCAAGGAGAAGAAGAAACTAGGGTTTAGATCAAAGAAAAACATTAAGAAAGAAAATCAAGAACGTTTTAGAGACATATTTACTCATACAGAAGAGGAGGAAGACACTGATAACAAAGAGAAGAATAATTTGAAGGAGAAAAATGGGGCAGAGGTATTGGTGGGTGAGGAGTTTTTAGTGGAAGAATATGAGAGTGAGGAGGAAGGCCGTGGGCAACCGAAGAGGAAGGCTGGTGGAGTTTCAATTAGTTCGTCGAGTGATGAGAAAGAGGATGAAGATAGACTCGATGATGAGGAGGAAGAGGCACATTTAAAGATTTATTTTTGTAGCCGGACCCATTCACAGCTATCTCAGTTCATAAAGGAGTTAAGGAAGACTTCACTTGCTAGTGAATTGAAGGTTGTTTTGTTGGGCTCCAGGAAAATGTTCTGCGTCAATGAAGGTACACTGCTAATCTTTTTACTATAGGACTATGGAAGCATGTCTTATGTGTTCGTAGTCAAATATTTTGGGGGTACACAACTATAATGGCAGATTATACTTGTATCATCTTGTGTGGGTTTAATCATATTGTCCCAGGGGTCTTGTTTTCAGAGGTGTTGAAACTTGGGAACTCCACTCGCATAAATGAGCAATGTTTGGAGCTTCAAAAGAATAAGAAAAGTGAAGTTTCTAAAATGAAGGTATGAATGTTCCATTGCTCCTATTCTGTGATATGCATTCAACGTTTTTTATCAAATTTGTTTTGCTGATGCTTTGAAATTGTGGCCCATCTACATTAAAAATGAGATCCACTTTGTAATTCAGATTATTCAATTTCCATAATTCTTGTTGTGGGAGTTATTCTAAGGTAGAAGGGCATTTCTAAATGCTACTTGCAACCTTGGTGAGGTATCTTGCTTCATAGGACAGCAAGACTTTTAATTAAGAATGATCATTATGTCACTTTCATCCACAACTAGACATGTATATGCAATGTGTGTATGTGTGCGCGCGACTGCATGAGCCTCACAGATTGAGAGAGGGAGAGAGAGATGTAGAAGTGGGAAACAGGAACATAATTAGGGAAAACTGGGGACCTAATAACTTCCTCATGCCAGTTGCAAAACTGATGTAAATGGAAATTGTGGTGATATGCCTTGACGAGTGACGTGTTCCTTTACTGTGTTGAATAACAAGAGAAAGAAACATTATCTCTTGCTTCCTATATAGTAGTCGAAAATTTTTGGTCTTCCTTAGATCTCTGAATGTAAATCCAGGCTCCTTTTTGAACTTTTGAACGAAATGGTGCCCTATCTGTCATTTTATTTTAATATCAGTACCAATCAAGCAACATAAGATGGCTTCTTATCTGGTGGACATTCGGCCTAACATCTGAACAAGTCTGTCCTGCTATGACGTGACAATTTTTGACTGATGTACCAAAGTTAATTTGCAGGACTTGGGAGCTGGAGGAAGAATACGGCGGACCAAGGCTTCCACTGGTTGTCCGATGCTTAGAAAACATAAACTACAGAGACAGTTTAGGAGTGAAATCTCTCAACAAGAGCCTCTGGATATTGAAGATCTTGTACATCTTGGAAGAAGGATTGAAACGTGCCCTTATTATGGCTCTAGAAGCATGGTTCCCACAGCTGATCTTGTGGTTCTTCCCTATCAATCTCTCCTTTCAAAATCATCTCGTGAATCACTTGGTTTAGATTTAAAGAATAATATTATTATTATAGACGAGGCTCACAATCTAGCTGACTCTCTCATCAGCATGTATGACTCGAAAATTACTTCTTCACAGGTAAATAGTACCCTCACATTTAGAAAATTACTTCTTCACTNCAGTGCTCTGCAATGGCTGGTTGACAGAAAGAGACAACCAAAGTCCGATGCTACAGCTGATTTGTGTTTGAAACCAAAATATGTTGATCAATCTGCTTCAGATGATGAACCTGATTGGATGAGAAGCTTTGTGATGAACAAAGACAATGAAGTATCACCAGAGAAGAAGGTCAAGGAGAAGAAGAAACTAGGGTTTAGATCAAAGAAACACATTAAGAAAGAAAATCAAGAACGTTTTAGAGAAATATTTACTCATACAGAAGAGGAGGAAGACACTGATAACAAAGAGAAGAATAATTTGAAGGAGAAAAATGGGGCAGAGGTATTGGTGGGTGAGGAGTTTTTAGTGGAAGAATATGAGAGTGAGGAGGAAGGCCGTGGGCAACCGAAGAGGAAGGCTGGTGGAGTTTCAATTAGTTCGTCGNGCAGAGGTATTGGTGGGTGAGGAGTTTTTAGTGGAAGAATATGAGAGTGAGGAGGAAAGCCGTGGGCAACCGAAGAGGAAGGCTAGTGGAGTTTCAATTAGTTCGTCANGAGAAAAATGGGGCAGAGGTATTGGTGGGTGAGGAGTTTTTAGTGGAAGAATATGAGAGTGAGGAGGAAGGCCGTGGGCAACCGAAGAGGAAGGCTGGTGGAGTTTCAATTAGTTCGTCGAGTGATGAGAAAGAGGATGAAGATAGACTCGATGATGAGGAGGAAGAGGCACATTTAAAGATTTATTTTTGTAGCCGGACCCATTCACAGCTATCTCAGTTCATAAAGGAGTTAAGGAAGACTTCACTTGCTAGTGAATTGAAGGTTGTTTTGTTGGGCTCCAGGAAAATGTTCTGCGTCAATGAAGGTACACTGCTAATCTTTTTACTATAGGACTATGGAAGCATGTCTTATGTGTTCGTAGTCAAATATTTTGGGGGTACACAACTATAATGGCAGATTATACTTGTATCATCTTGTGTGGGTTTAATCATATTGTCCCAGGGGTCTTGTTTTCAGAGGTGTTGAAACTTGGGAACTCCACTCGCATAAATGAGCAATGTTTGGAGCTTCAAAAGAATAAGAAAAGTGAAGTTTCTAAAATGAAGGTATGAATGTTCCATTGCTCCTATTCTGTGATATGCATTCAACGTTTTTTATCAAATTTGTTTTGCNTTATGTGTTCGTAGTCAAATATTTTGGGGGTACACAACTATAATGGCAGATTATACTTGTATCATCTTGTGTGTGTTTAATCATATTGTCCCAGGGGTCTTGTTTTCAGAGGTGTTGAAGCTTGGGAACTCCACTCGCATAAATGAGCGATGTTTGGAGCTTCAAAAGAATAAGAAAAGTGGAGTTTCTAAAATGAAGGTATGAATGTTCCATTGCTCCTATTCTGTGATATGAATTCAACGTTTTTTATCAAATTTGTTTTGATGATGCTTTGAAATTGTGGCCCATCTACATTAAAAATGAGATCCACTTTGTAATTCAGATTATTCAATTTCCATAATTCTTGTTGTGGGAGTTATTCTAAGGTAGAAGGGCATTTCTAAATGCTACTTGCAACCTTGGTGAGGTATCTTGCTTCATAGGACAGCAAGACTTTTAATTAAGAATGATCATTATGTCACTTTCATCCACAACTAGACATGTATATGCAATGTGTGTATGTGTGCGCGCGACTGCATGAGCCTCACAGATTGAGAGAGGGAGAGAGAGATGTAGAAGTGGGAAACAGGAACATAATTAGGGAAAACTGGGGACCTAATAACTTCCTCATGCCAGTTGCAAAACTGATGTAAATGGAAATTGTGGTGATATGCCTTGACGAGTGACGTGTTCCTTTACTGTGTTGAATAACAAGAGAAAGAAACATTATCTCTTGCTTCCTATATAGTAGTCGAAAATTTTTGGTCTTCCTTAGATCTCTGAATGTAAATCCAGGCTCCTTTTTGAACTTTTGAACGAAATGGTGCCCTATCTGTCATTTTATTTTAATATCAGTACCAATCAAGCAACATAAGATGGCTTCTTATCTGGTGGACATTCGGCCTAACATCTGAACAAGTCTGTCCTGCTATGACGTGACAATTTTTGACTGATGTACCAAAGTTAATTTGCAGGACTTGGGAGCTGGAGGAAGAATACGGCGGACCAAGGCTTCCACTGGTTGTCCGATGCTTAGAAAACATAAACTACAGAGACAGTTTAGGAGTGAAATCTCTCAACAAGAGCCTCTGGATATTGAAGATCTTGTACATCTTGGAAGAAGGATTGAAACGTGCCCTTATTATGGCTCTAGAAGCATGGTTCCCACAGCTGATCTTGTGGTTCTTCCCTATCAATCTCTCCTTTCAAAATCATCTCGTGAATCACTTGGTTTAGATTTAAAGAATAATATTATTATTATAGATGAGGCTCACAATCTAGCTGACTCTCTCATCAGCCTGTATGACTCAAAAATTACTTCTTCACAGGTAAATAGTACCCTCACATTTAGAAAATTACTTCTTCACAGGTTATTGAAAGTTTATTGACCACGGTGCTTTTGTGCATGTCTGGTTTGGATGTACATTAATGATGGCTATATAACAAACTAGTAATCCATCTTAAAAGCTAATGAAGAATCAGCTTAGTTGCCGCTTTAAATAAGTTGTTTTTGTTTGTCTTTTGTTTCAGTTGGAGCGAGTGCATTTCCACTTAGAGAGGTACTTTCAACGATTTCGGAATCTCTTAGGACCAGGAAATCGAAGATATATTCAAACTCTGATGGTGCTCACTCGGGCTTTTTTATGGATTTTTTGTAATGAGATCAAGGACTCTTTATGTGATGCTGAAGAATTTTCTGGAGCAAAAAATTCGTTTGATTCTTCCATGACCATCAACGAATTCTTATTTTCACTCAATGTTGATAACATAAACTTGTTTAAACTGTTACTATACATCAAAGAAAGCAACATTATACACAAGGTCAATGCCTGCTCTTTCGTTTGTTGTCTTAATGCTACCAATAACACTTCNGGTTGGATTGATCACGTATTGACACCGGTTTAGTCGTGGAGTGCAATTTGTAGGTAATGCAACTAGTCCACCAAACCTCGTTGGGGGGAGGGGGGTTTCATATTGCATTTGCACATGGGTGGCCATTCATTTTTGCTTTAGCATCTCACTAGGTCCTAGTCTTGTCTTCTCCAGGTAGAGCGATCCGACATGTGAATGATTATGCGGCCATCCTGTTGGTTGATGCACGCTATGCATCAGATTCCTCAAAAGGAAGCTTTTCTCAACCAACGAACAAGCTACCAAAGTGGATTCAAAGCCGTCTTATTTCTAAAACAGGTAACTATGGAGAAGTCCACAGGTTACTGCATCAGTTCTTCAAATTCAACAAAAATAGAGGGGTTCAGTAGAGCATTTTACTTAGTTTATATAAGCAGAAAAGAAACAACATTGTGTTAGATACGAATTCATAAATGTATTTAGCAACAAAGTGGGTATTTATTACATACCCAATAGTCTGATTGGAGTTGTTGCCAGGAATATAGCAGGGGGCAGAAGCGATATATCTGTGGTCATTTTTGCGGTTTAAATTTCAGAAACGTCTAAGTCATAATCGAACAATTTACAGTTACATCAAGTCCTGACCTCATCTATTTTATTCTACTCTTTTAAAAACAAAGAGGACGCAGAAAAGGTGACAGAGGTTAACATTTTAGCTGTAGGAAAGTGACTTCAGTGCACAGATATTGACCCGCTCCTTATCCTAAAGTTCAATTTGTCTGGTCCCACATCCTTGTTTTCAACCAACACTGGTACCGACCCTCTTCAAAGATGGGGACCCATACAGCTATCCCATATAAATGCAATGAGAATCTTTCCATAATTCCTGCAGTACGGGAGATTTTAATTAAAGACAAACTTCGCATTTGGACTAACAATGTAGCATAATGAGATGATGGAGCCTCTTATTGCAGAAAGACTTTACATTCATTTCGGATTTGAATTTCTTCTAATATATTTTTTCTTGATTTTTTTTCATGTGAAATCAACCATCGTGAATTCCTGTAGAACTAAGTCTCTAAAAAATACACCGAGAATGTTCAATCATTAAGAGAATTGAGATAAATAATATTGGAGAGATCAAATTCTGTTCATCTAATCCCTTATTGTATGACCCACAGGTCAAAAAATGGCTAAAAAGCAAATAATTAGTGGTTGAGCGCATGGTATTACCACAGTAAGCTTGTACCCACCCACTAGGCCTTTAACTTTTCCTCTTAATCAATGCCACTTTACTTTCAACGACGGGTAGTCTAAAGATGAGATGTCCATAATCATTGATCTCTCCCATTCCTTTCTCTCATTCTACTTCTAATACTCTTTTCTCAAGAAACAGGGGCTCTATGATTACTGGTGCCCAGGCCCTCTGATTATCTGATCATCTAATCCAATGGCCACACCCTAGAGAGAGAAAAGAAAAAAAAGGGGGGGGCGGGGGGAGAGCACAAAAAGATACGAGGGTAAACACCAAAAGGATGGAAGTAGAAGCAAAAACAGAAGACATTGTCCCCTAGAATTTGATAGCCTTTTTTCTCCAGGTAACTGGAAGAAACAGAACTCTCTCTGCCATATCTGGCATCAGAGAGAGAGAGATGAACAAGCCATACAAAACAACATTAAAGCCACAAATGTTGATCAAGAAAACAATGGACAAGACTAAGAACTTCGTTCACAAAGCCCTACAAAACCTCAAGTCCTTTCTGTTTGGAGGCTCTCAAAAGCTACTCAGATCCCATCCCCTTAACCCCCTCTTTGGTTGCAACAACAGCTCAAAAATGCAGGAGTTGAACAATTTCTATAGAGAATTTTCTGCGCAGTGGGAGGCAGATCCTGATGAGGCGATGAAAAGAAACAAGATGACACGGGTTGAAGATGCATCTAGCGGAAGCTTCAAGAATAATGCAGAGCTGAGTGTTGTGAAGAAAACACAAGAGAGAGGAAAGGAAGAGAAAACAGGTGGATACCATGAAGAACAGAGAAGAGAGCCTTGTTCTCCGAGTGCCAATGGAGGGGGTCATGTTTTAGCACAGAAAATGAAAGAACTGGAGAAGATGGATGTGGATGATGTAGATCATGCAATGGACATAGAAGAGGTGCTCCACTATTATTCTCGCCTTACCTCTCCCATTTACCTCGACATTGTTGACAACTTTTTCGAGGACATGCATTCTGAATTCTTCCTTCCTCAGCCCTCTGCCAGTGTCAACAATTCAATGCGGAGCCTTGGCCCTGTAAAGATCTAGAAACTGCAGTCAATTATTTCTCCTCTCTGCATGTAAATCTTGTCTCTTGCTTCCTTTCCTCCCTTTTGTATGTGTGAGCCTGCGTGTACTTGCTGTGATTTTCAAGTCTGCCAACCTCTACCTGTGTTTGCCAATTGCTATGGTGTCTTCTTACCTATAGATTCAATACTTATAGTAGTCTTTGATATATAATTGTCACTGCCTAGTTGCTATTACCATTTCACTAAAGTTATAACTTCCTGGCCATACGCAGAAAATTCTCAGCAACTCAATTAACTTTCACAGGAGATGTGAATTCACTTGATGTATACAAGAAAATTTGGGTTCAAGTTTTCTTGTAAAAGGTATCTAGATTTGCTTAAGATTACACACAAGAGTTCCCATTTTCAGTCTTGATTGCAGATATAAAAACATGTGCATCCAATATTTTCAAAATTCTTAGAGGAAAGTGGATTTAATATATCCAACAATGTTACTTTCCTTTCATATAGTTTCTTCATTTCTGTTAAGTGTAATTCTTCTTCACACATACTCAGAACCAGAGGGCAATAATCACATAGAAAAATTCCACTTCCAAACAACTTCTGTTATGGCATGAGGGAAATGGTGGCACAAATGATGAATCAATTAATAAACTTGGTATTTATCAAGTACAAGAAGCATAATTGTCTGTATTTAACCTGGTATTTGCAAGTACAACAAGCTAATAACAAAGTCATATTAAGTACTGAAATTGTGAAACATGTCAGAATACTAAAGAGCTAGCAAGAATAGCACATGACTATGCAAGGCAATGTGAATAAGCACAAAAAACACCTTGAGAGGCTGAACAAGAGGTGCGTTTACCAGCTCTGTCAGACCACTTTTTGACAGCAGAGCCGAACCTGACCACTTGGTGCAGTCAATACTTGGAGATTAAAGCTTCATCATTGCAAGGGCAAAATCTAGTTGGAACAACGAAACATCTGAAGCATGTGCTCTAATCCATGTCTCAGTTTCCACCCCCTGCCGTTAGCTGCTGATCAACATAAAGTATTCCCTACCCTGCATAAGGCTGCAGTAGCATAGTGTACCAAAACCTGATCTTGGTCCCTCATAGTCTGTCTTCATTCCTGTCTCCAGCGATAAAGAAAAAGGTCAACTATCGATAGCTGGTGATGGTGTTGTTGACGACGATGATAATGGTGATAATGAGACATGGTTGTTGCATCTTGATCTCACGAGGTTCAGGAACTCAGTATCCTTAGGTGGGTCAGGCTCATCAGTCCCGACAAAGTTATAGAGCTGATTGAGGAAGAATTTGCAGTGAATCATTCCAGTGCTGTGGGCACCTGTGCAACAATGACACCATACCAATTCCATTGCTAAGGCTAGAGCTTCTTCAGTAACAAGTAAGAGAAATATATGCTGACAAAACCTAATAGCGACTCCATCATCTATCAAACAAACTCATCTAGACTCTCAAGTGACAGGAAAAAAAAGACAATCAGTATATATGAACCCAGAAATGAGGGACTTACATTGACAAGAATAGGAAAGAGAAGGAACTCGTCTAAATGTCATTTTTGTTGGAACACAACTAAACTCGTCTTAACCAACTAGTCTAGTACTTCATGCGAATGTAGTGCCTTTCCATAAGTCTTTTGTAGTAGAAATCCTTTTTTCATCTTAAATCATAAGAAATTAAGAATGTTGGTGTTCAATTTCATTAGAATTCAGAAACCAAAGACGCCAATTTAAGATAATAACAGCATACATTACGCAGCATCAAGGCCAGAAATTTGGAATTGCAACATATGCGAGAAATAAGCTGAGAGCTCCAACCAATTAGTCAGAATGAGATTATGAGAAAGCCATATAAGTTGTTCAACACACAGTAGATTATAGGACTGAGAACCATAAATTCTCTTTTCAGTGAGGAAACAAGGGAGACGAATAGAGAAAAGGGAAAGAAATGTGTGTGTGTGTGAGAGAGAGAGAGAGAGAGATACCAGAAGAACACTTTCTCTAGCAGCAAAAACAACAACATGAGCACAAGAAACTACACCGGGGTGTGCTTCTTCAAGCTCCGACTTGATGACATCAATCAGATCGACAAAACCCTTTAAGGATTCCTTCGGAGGAGACTCGTTCTCACTGTCAATTCCATCAGTGGCATCCAATAAAACTGAAGGATCACAACCCTGTACCAAGAGTGAATACAAAGCTAGCCCAAATTGCAACAGAGACCATAAACCCAACGCAATTTCACAAGAACGTGGATCAAAATTCCAAGCAACTAACAAAACCGAAATTCCAATCCACAAGGACAAGGAGTTCAGAACTATAATTAACATAAAAAAATATTTGACAAGAAACATAAATCACACAACGAAAATTATTGCAGAGAACTACTAAAAAACCGGATACAAAAGAAACACAAATAGCTATCCAATACATATATCAATCACAAACTCTGCAAGAATAATGATCCAATACCAGCTAAAAACCACAAAGCTGCCATCAGATTGTGAACCGAACAATAAATCCCATATCATAATAATCAACAAGCAACAAGAAATCACCTCCACAAAGCAATCATGGAAAACCAACCGCAATAATGCAGAACAAGCATGGACCTTCAGTTTGTAGAGTTCTTAAACCGTTGATCTGATGGTTTGCTCTGCTTGTGGGCACGATTCATTCTAGTGATCGTATCTCCGAGATCTGGGATCATCAGCTTCTTCGATCTTCTTCTCCAACTTGGTTGACAAGAACAACGGCCAAGATTGTGATGGAGCAGCAAAAACCCGGCTTGTGAACCCTTATCGGTTTCGACATTTTGGTTCTTCAGAGAGATGAGAACGCACAGTAGAAACACAAGAAAGCTAAGTGTCCTGGTAAAACCCATCTCTAGCAGTTCACTGGTTGGAATCAAACCCTTCTCTACCTCTCCCTCTTTCTTTTTGCGTGGTTGTGAAGAGGGAGCTTTTTGAAGGGTAAGAAAGAGCGGGAAAAAGAGATGTTCGAAATGACGAGAATGCCCTTGAAACAGAGTTTGATAAGTGTGGTTGGTCTTCTCAGGAGTTTAGCGTGTCATGTCAACATTGTATTGTGGTTAAATCTAATAACACTAAAATTTAACTTATATTGCATCTAAATTATAAAGTCGTGTTTTACAAATGCATGAGAATTATTAACATTTTCAAAAACAGAGGTAAAGCCATTTATTACTTGTCTCTTTTAAAACCATCTAAAAGATAGATTTTTGAGTTCGTTTGATTGTCGTATTAAAAATAGATGAATTAAATAAACTAATACAGTGTAATATAATACAGATGAATTAAATATAATATTAGAATAATACGTAATTTTATCTAGTATTTGACAATACACAATAAAAGTGTTGGATAATAATTATTTAATTCAATCGGTTATTTGATTAGAGAATTATTTCATCGTATTAATGTTGAATTAGCAAAAAATACCCTCAATCAGTGTTTGTTACATTGATGACAACTTGAATTTATCACTTGGGAGGTTATAATAGTAAATGTGTAGAATAATACGTTTGAATTGGATTATAATACCACATCTTTTAGTGATATTAAAAAACCTCTGTAATATAAGTTCATCGTATAAAAAATATACAACAAATATATAATAAGTATACGTTTTTAAAATTAATATANAACCGAAATTCCAATCCACAAGGACAAGGAGTTCAGAACTATAATTAACATAAAAAAATATTTGACAAGAAACATAAATCACACAACGAAAATTATTGCAGAGAACTACTAAAAAACCGGNTTGGTTAGATTAAATGAAAAATAGTACAATCTAATATTCAATCCCCTCATAATACGTTTACAAACAAGTCCTTTATGTACTTAATATCATTTTGTATGTGAGATTTGNTGGTTGGAATCAAACCCTTCTCTACCTCTCCCTCTTTCTTTTTGCGTGGTTGTGAAGCGGGAGCTTTTTGAAGGGTATGAAAGAGCGGGAAAAAGAGATGATCGAAATGACGAGAATGCCCTTGAAACAGAGTTTGATAAGTGCTCACACGGATGGTTGGTCTTCTCAGGAGTTTAGCGTGTCATGTCAACATTGTATTGTGGTTAAATCTAATAACACTAAAATTTAACTTATATTGCATCTAAATTATAAAGTCGTGTTTTACAAATGCATGAGAATTATTAACATTTTCAAAAACAGAGGTAAAGCCATTTATTACTTGTCTCTTTTAAAACCATCTAAAAGATAGATTTTTGAGTTCGTTTGATTGTCGTATTAAAAATAGATGAATTAAATAAACTAATACAGTGTAATATAATACAGATGAATTAAATATAATATTAGAATAATACGTAATTTTATCTAGTATTTGACAATACACAATAAAAGTGTTGGATAATAATTATTTAATTCAATCGGTTATTTGATTAGAGAATTATTTCATCGTATTAATGTTGAATTAGCAAAAAATACCCTCAATCAGTGTTTGTTACATTGATGACAACTTGAATTTATCACTTGGGAGGTTATAATAGTAAATGTGTAGAATAATACGTTTGAATTGGATTATAATACCACATCTTTTAGTGATATTAAAAAACCTCTGTAATATAAGTTCATCGTATAAAAAATATACAACAAATATATAATAAGTATACGTTTTTAAAATTAATATAGTATCAAATTTGTTTACCAAATAAAGTATTTGGTTAGATTAAATGAAAAATAGTACAATCTAATATTCAATCCCCTCATAATACGTTTACAAACAAGTCCTTTATGTACTTAATATCATTTTGTATGTGAGATTTGGGCTATAGTAACAAAAAATAAAATTTTAGTATTATATCAAAATTTATTATATTTATGGGTATTTTTATTATTATTGTAGATGTTTTTATCACTATTATAGTACAAAAAAAAGTAATAAAACTAATTACCACAATAATAATAAAAACACTCACAACAACGATAAAAAAAACTCATATAAGTGATAAATTACCCATAAATGTAATAAACTTTTTTGTACTAAAAAAATGATAAAAATAGTGATAAATATACCTACAAAAGGGACAAATCAATCACAAAAGTGATAAAATTTTTGATTATAAAATGACCCACAAAAATTATACAGATACCATTTGAAGTAATAAATTTTGAAAGTATGGTATCAAAATTTTTTTGCGGGTATGGTACCATGGTCTAATCCAATAGTCGGGAATGAGATGTAAATAAAAGTTGGGAAGCTCAATGCGGTNATGAGAACGCACAGTAGAAACACAAGAAAGCTAAGTGTCCTGGTAAAACCCATCTCTAGCAGTTCACTGGTTGGAATCAAACCCTTCTCTACCTCTCCCTCTTTCTTTTTGCGTGGTTGTGAAGCGGGAGCTTTTTGAAGGGTATGAAAGAGCGGGAAAAAGAGATGATCGAAATGACGAGAATGCCCTTGAAACAGAGTTTGATAAGTGCTCACACGGATGGTTGGTCTTCTCAGGAGTTTAGCGTGTCATGTCAACATTGTATTGTGGTTAAATCTAATAACACTAAAATTTAACTTATATTGCATCTAAATTATAAAGTCGTGTTTTACAAATGCATGAGAATTATTAACATTTTCAAAAACAGAGGTAAAGCCATTTATTACTTGTCTCTTTTAAAACCATCTAAAAGATAGATTTTTGAGTTCGTTTGATTGTCGTATTAAAAATAGATGAATTAAATAAACTAATACAGTGTAATATAATACAGATGAATTANCAGCAACTCCTATAGCAAAAAAATACCCATTACTGAGGATGTTCACCCTACGGATACAAAATATAATCTTTCGACTTTTACTTTATGAATAAAAATTTTCTTGACCTATCATACTAAATCAAATGTGGTATTTCTACCTGACTTTCGGCCAAATTAATTGGATAGAAAGTCGAATGAACGTTTTTGTAANAAGATAGATTTTTGAGTTCGTTTGATTGTCGTATTAAAAATAGATGAATTAAATAAATTAATACAATGTAATATAATATTAGAATAATACGTAATTTTATCTAGTATTTGACAATACACAATAAAAGTGTTGGATAATAATTATTTAATTCAATCGGTTATTTGATTAGAGAATTATTTCATCGTATTAATGTTGAATTAGCAAAAAATACCCTCAATCAGTGTTTGTTACATTGATGACAACTTGAATTTATCACTTNAAGATAAGATAAGAATACGAAAATTAATGATTATTCCGCATTCCTACCTGATTTAATTGAAAAACCAAAAATTCTTCTATTTTTCTACCCGATTTTTTTGGCTAGCCGTTCAATAGAGTCGAATAAGCATAAAATTACNTTGGGAGGTTATAATAGTAAATGTGTAGAATAATACGTTTGAATTGGATTATAATACAACATCTTTTAGTGATATTAAAAAACTTCTGTAATATAAGTTCATCGTATAAAAAATATACGACAAATATATAATAAGTATACGTTTTTAAAATTAATATGNCGCATTCCTACCTGATTTAATTGAAAAACCAAAAATTCTTCTATTTTTCTACCCGATTTTTTTGACTAGCCATTCAATAGAGTCGAATAAGCATAAAATTATNTTGTTTACCAAATAAAGTATTTGGTTAGATTAAATGAAAAATAGTACAATCTAATATTCAATCCCCTCATAATACGTCTACAAAACGAGTCCTTTATGTACTTAATATCATTTTGTATGTGAGATTTGGCTATAGTAACAAAAAATAAAATTTTAGTATTATATCAAAATTTATTATATTTATGGGTATTTTTATTATTATTGTAGATGTTTTTATCACTATTATAGTACAAAAAAAAGTAATAAAACTAATTACCACAATAATAATAAAAACACTCTCAACAACGATAAAAAAAACTCATATAAGTGATAAATTACCCATAAATGTAATAAATTTTTTTGTACTAAAAAAATGATAAAAATAGTGATAAATATACCCACAAAAGGGACAAATCAATCACAAAAGTGATAAAACTTTTGATTATAAAATGACTCACAAAAATTATACAGATACCATTTGAAGTAATAAATTTTGAAGGTACGGTATCAAAATTTTTTTGCCGGTATGGTACCATGGTCTAATCCAATAGTCGGGAATGAGATGTAAATAAAAGTTGGGAAGCTCAATGCGGGTAAGAAATCAAATTCAATAGTTACAACTGTGAAGGGCATCTCTCCATCCAAAAATAAAATCAATTCATCATCAAATTACAAGGCAGAACAGCTTTACAGGCATGCCAAATAGCATGTAAATCATTGTTTTTTTTTCCTAAATAAATCCGGCAAAAAATTATGTAAGACTGGAAATACAGCAGATTATGGATGGGCCCTCAAGAAAGAATATTATAGTCCCGGAAACCTGGAAGAGAACAGTGATCAAGAAATCGTCCTGGGCATTGCCGCGACTCCAAATTTCTCGTTGCCAGTTGAGTATGATTTGAATAAAACAATGCTTCATTGACAAAACCAACCATTGTGTTCATCAGCAACTCCTATAGCAAAAAAATACCCATTACTGAGGATGTTCACCCTACGGATACGAAATATAATCTTCCGACTTCCTACCCGATACTTTATGAATAAAAATTTTCTTGACCTATCATACTTAATCAAATGTGATGTTTCTACCTGACTTTCAGCCAAATTAATTGGATAGAAAGTCGAATGAACGCTTTTGTAATAATTAATTTTTGGATTATTTTAACAATTCAATTAAATAACATGCACCAATTTAACAACACAATAAACATTTTTTTTGATCCAAACAACACAATAAACTAATAATACTAAAACTTAAAACAATTACAAGAAAACATAAACATCAATCCATCATAATTGTTATACAAATATAATAATAATTATAAATTAATGCGAGTAGGGTAAGATAAGATAAGAATACGAAAATTAATGATTATTCCGCATTCCTACCTGATTTAATTGAAAAACCAAAAATTCTTCTATTTTTCTACCCGATTTTTTTGACTAGCCATTCAATAGAGTCGAATAAGCATAAAATTATGGCTAATCGGAAATTTGAACACCCTGCCCATTACTTACATCGGACTTCCATACGCACTTTTCCATACACAACTCAACGACCAGAAGCAGAAACTAGAACGTTATGCTCCTTTAGACGACTTTGAAAACGAGTCAGGCAGTTTTGTAGTAGTAGGATGCTTTTTGCCTTCAGGGATAGGATTGTGTTCAATCTAGAGACATAATCATCCAGTTGATTTCCTGGTTGATCTGCCTCAAACAACAGGTCCATCTCCTGCGAGCATTAAAAAGATAGGTGAAGTGTTTGACCAACATATACAAACCCCCACAAACATCCTATATCTCTCGTACAAGTGATATGGCATGCAAACTTATGGTCACTGCTCAACTAGAAGTGTATAGATTGAAATCCACATGCTGAAAACATTTATCGATGAAATGGATGCAAACATAAGTTTTCAAAAGGCTGCCCCCATCCTCGATAACATCCTTATTAATCTTATATTTTCTCGAATGTGATGGTTCATTCGAAATATTAATATCCTCAGTCAGCTTGCCTGCACGGAGCAAGAAAAATAATCAAAATAATCAGCGAAATTCAGATTACCACAGACCTGTCCCACAATATCCATCATCTCCTCCACTTCTTTCCGGTGAGCATTCACAAGATCTTCCTCTTCCTGAGATATGCAAGACAAGTTAGAGGACTCAAAAGATTGAGCATTAATTAGTAAATAGCTCAAGACTAATCTATCATTCTCACCTTTAACAGGGCATTCAAATCATCATCAGAGTGTGAATGTTTTGAAACAAATTTTTTAGGGTCCTTCCATTTTGTCTGGCCATTGTCTCTTTTCATTTTACCATCCATATTTGCGAGACTATATGCTTCAAGTTTTCCATTTTTCCATGATCGATTCTCTTGCGCATAGAACTCTTCTGATGCATCATATTCCTCTCTATCAGTTTGTTCAGGCCATGAATCAGCTATGTCATCTTCAAAAGTTGATGCAGGTGGTAAAACCGAAGATAAGGGTAATGTTGTTGATTCCTTCAAGATGTCTTTTTTGGAGTTGTTCCCTTTAGAAAGGCTCTTCACCCTAAAGGTTGTACAAACATAGTCATTTAAAATTGAAAAAAAGGGGAAAGAAAAGAGGAGGACGGGCTTGCCAGGAATTTTATCATGTAAAAGGATCATGATTACCTGTCAGCATATCTTAATGTGTTAAGAGTATGTTCACATGATCCTGAACTTGGGGAAATGCAAGATATCATAACAGTCCGTGAATCTCCAACAAATGAATCCCTCAGAACTTCAGTTAATTTACTGCCTCTGAAAGGGATATGACCCTGGTCATTGTCAAGAGCTCGTATGCATTCCTTTAAAGCAAGCAAGCTTTTATTGATCTCAGCACCTTCCATTCTGCATTAGATATTTAGAACTGCCAAATAAGAAAATATCCAAAAGCCAAATACATGTGCCGATATCGTACAGACGTCCTATCACCAAAAAGCATGTTAGGGAATGGTGCAGATGAAATGCACATGAACTTAATCTACCTCTTTGAGCATTCTCTCAACGTGGCTTTAATATACACCGATCTATGGAAAAAAAGACGGCCCAAGGGAAGATAACAAAGAATAATCAAAAAATGAATGGGCTTATGAATCCATCAAGGCAAAGAAGTTGGAAGATTACAAGATTATAAACTAGCTGCTTCACTTCATTGACTCCAATTTTCTTGATAAAACAGTTAGTAATAAGTAGTTATTGAATTTATTCTCTCCAAATGATTTGTTGAATTTCTTCAAATCACGACTGGAGCTTATCCTTTTGATAGTTTGACAGTAAAACGAGGCTGAAAATCACACATTACATCTTAAAATCAGGTACTAGATTCTTCTTTTATTGTTTTCATATATATGATCCACCAGATTTGCCAAAAAAAGTGTCTAGTTCTCAATCCCATAAAGGGATGAAAGCATAGCGAGATTCACTCAAAGGTTTTTGGCCAAAGAATATTCCAAATTATCTAGGTCAGGGTTTCTAGTCCTCAATCCTATAAAGAGATGACATTAAAGCGAGATCCACTCAGATTTTTGGCCAAATTCTATTCCAAATTATCAAGGCCAGATGGCCCAGATCCAACTTCCCAACATGTCAACTGCTTAGTCAATTTGATCTTTGGAAATCATCCTGATCAATCTGGTTTTAGAAAATCTTATACTAAGACTATATAAGAGAGTTTTCCTCAAGAAAACTTTGGGGGAAGCAAATGAAAAGATCTGTACCTTGTCTGCTTATTGGTGTCTGTAGTATCTGCACCGCGTTCACTTCCAGCAAGGTCTATGAAGGAGAGCTTGCCAACAACTCGAGGCTTAGATACACTACCATCAGCTAACCTCTTAATAACAAGCTGAAGTATGGCATGTGATCGGGAGGATTCCTCATTTGCACCAGTCGTGCCTATACTTCTTGTAGCATTTCCTTTCTCAATAAACTCTTCAATTGTGTCCACCTCAGATACTCTGTACTCCTGCAAACCCACAATGCAAACTTGCTGTTTACCATCCTCTCTCATGCAAAGTTTTCTGCACAGGAAAAGATCCATTTGTTATGAAAGTCTAAAGCATGCAATGATGCAAGAGCCAATCAGAATTCCAGGAAGGTACATGGTGGACAACATACGTCCGCTCGTTGAGGAGATCAAAGAGTTTTCCTCCATATATCTCAAAGAAGCTGACAAATAATTGAAAGCCTTGGTTCCGGTAAGTATGGTGCATAAGTCTCAAAATATCCCGTGATGCTTTAAGGGGTAGTGGTTTCATAGTGTAAGTTTTTCCACTCCCTAAACAAATAAGCAAACAAAAGGTGAAAGCTTATTCATAAAAGGAAACAATAAGGGATCCAATAATTCAACACCAAATGAGCACAAGATCTGTTAAAACCTGACTGGCATATACATGAAAGAGAAAGCATTCTTAAATTTTCCTCAACTTCTAAATTTTTTGCTTGCTCATTATAGACTAGCCAAGAAAAGGGTATAGAATTCACAAGAATCTATTGAGCGAATCCATCAAATAACAATAAAATGAACCATATATGTCTTCCAAAGTAAATCAACCATCTAACCAAATGGCACTTGACTTGAAGCCATTGCAAGAAGAGAAAGCTAAAATTATAACAAGCATATGAATCATACAGCATCGAAACTGAACAGTTTGGAGACTGACCAACACTAACAAAGCATGCAACGAATAAAATCAACAAAAATAGTGGCCCATATAAGCAGCTAATAATCCCCCAATCTGTGCATTAAGGAAAGTTTACAAATCACAGAAATCCATTTAATTCTATTTGCATAAATAAAACTATAGGTATTCTTGTTCCTTACTTCCTCGGTAGACTTCCACGTAAAAGGTTGTTCAGTAGTACATTTAATGAAATAAGTAGAGATGCATACTCTATTGGTTTTAAAACAATAAATCTATAGCACGATAAGGCTTAACGATGAACAAAGCACCTTTGAATTGTGCAATAGCAGGTTTTCAAGATTAGAAGTTTGAATGAAAAATGTTACCTGTTTGCCCATATGCAAAGCAAGTTGCCTTGGTGCGTTGAAAAATAATTGGAACTATGGGCTCCACAGTTTCACGATATACCTATGGAAACCAAAATGAGTTACTAGATTAACTTATGGTCAATAAGATTGCTTCCATCTGGAGGTCCATTAGTACTCCATATTTTTAATTTCATCTCAAACATGGTGTGTCATATACTGACCTCATCATTTGAAACCTCCTCATTCAGCACAGCATCAAAAACAAATTCATGCTTCTCCACATACTCTGTTAGATCAACCTGAAAGAGATTGGGCATAAGTTTTTCAACATACATGAAGTTTGAATATTATTACAGACAATAATAGGTTTGATATGAGAATATCAAGAAATGCAAAAGATGATTGCTAATCTGGTATTTATACAACAAGACACTTAAAAGGATTTGATCTATGATAAAAATAAAGGATTTTCCTGTACCAACATGGACTGATGTTCTGAATTAATCAAGCTCTGTATGCCTTCTTTTTATCATAAAGGAAATAAAAGAATGTCACACGAATTTTTGGGGAAAAAGGGTCACATTCCACATGTTTTTCTTCAGCAAAATACAAACATAACACTCATTAAGGGCAAAAGATATTTGCAGTACAAGCGATGCAATTTTCTTGTTGACTATAGTTTTCTCTCAAGATCAGTGCTTTTTTTAAAACTTGAGAATCAGAATGAACTTCTTGAAAAATGACAAAGAGAAGAAAAGGTACTTCATAACAAGTATGGCCACAGTAGAGTTTNTTTTAAAACTTGAGAATCAGAATGAACTTCTTGAAAAATGACAAAGAGAAGAAAAGGGACTTCATAACAAGTATGGCCACAGTAGAGTTTCCAACTGTGCCAAGCAAACAAGATAGTTTTTAGAATGAGTAAAGCAGAAAACTAATAGTTCATAATGCTGAAATTTGATTTCAAATGTTCATAGGTGATCAATAATGGAAATCAAAACTGTTCACATATGGAGAATGTAGCTCACTGTCAATGCTAGGATGAAAACCCAAAAGCATTAGAGCCGAAAGGAAAGAACCATGGTTATCAAAATCTCGATCTGGATTATAGGATCGATCCAGTACAGAGAAATCAATCTGAGTCTCTTGCAGAAACCCTAATTCATAGAATTTTAATGGATCATGATCCAGATCTTATAGGATCATTGAATCCCGATCCGAATTGCGTTTTAACGATGCAAGTTATTGGCTTTGTTTGTTAGGCACATTTCATTATTGGACCGACCTAATGAAGGGTGAGAAAAGCTAATATTACAAAATGCTATCTTAATTTGTTTCTCTCTCTCATTGAAAATAATGATTACATTTGATCTCCTCTCTAAATGAGTGATTATAGCCACATAGTCTTTCATTTTCATTCGCTACTGTTTTTTTTTGGTTTGGATGTTAAATAGTCAAAGTTGTTTATTTAACCGTCTTTCTCAAATTTTCTTTCTTTCCTCAATTTACATCTCTCTCCAAATTTAAAATCAAAATACTTCAATTTTTCTATTACTATTCAAAAATACCACAAAATGTCAAAATCAATTGCCCACTTTGATTCCCAACCTTTTTTAATGCTTAGATTTTAATTTTGCAAATTTTAAGCATATCTCTAAATTTTATGTTTTTTATAATATTTCTATTGTATATAATATATACTAGACTTTTTTAATTATTATTTTTAAAAATTCTTGTTACATATATTTTTCGTCTCTTTTTTTGAGTTTGTAGGATTTTACAACTTTTGTTACAACCCTACAATCCCAGTCATTCAGCCTCCCCAATCAATCCAAGGTAGGATCCCCATTTTAAAAACTTGGAAAGAACTATATCTAGAAAATAAAACTAAGCCCTATATTCTCAAAAACTTGAAGGCATAACAAAAATCATGTTGAAGTTCATGTACACTTGTTACTAAAGAAATTGCTAATCTTCACATATGTTTCCATCTTTTATATCATTTACTATAGATTCCATACCGTAAGACAGGGATACAACTTTTTCAAGCATCTGAATGATGCTGAGCACTAAAAGCATTGAAAGAAAATTGTTGCAGAGGGAAAGAGCAATGAGATATAATATCATTAAGTTCCGGATAAACTCTTTGTATGGGCATTACCATTATATGATGCTAACCTTAAGTTTAGTCTCATTGACCGTTAGAGAATTGAAATGTGTCTCTACGATATCCTCTTCATTCTTCACCAACTCCTTTTTGTTTAGAGGTCTCTTGCGCACCTGCAACCAGTCCATCATTAGCCAATTACAAGGAAAAATGGTAAGTGACGTCATGCGTCTTTCATTGTTAGACGTTAAACATCATTGATTGACAAATTTTCACTCTGGCAGAACATCATATTTTCCAGGATTTTCAGCAATCCACCTGACATTACCATCGCTGACAAAGTAGGCTTCGCTGCACAATATAGTGCCATAGAAGTTGACCAGTAAAATATGGAAAGGCAGATTAAAGGGAATAGGAAAAACATACCACTNTCTCTAAATTTTATGTTTTTTATAATATTTCTATTGTATATAATATATACTAGACTTGTTTAATTATTATTTTTAAAAATTCTTGTTACATATATTTTTCGTCTCTTTTTTTGAGTTTGTGGGATTTTACAACTTTTGTTACAACCCTACAATCCCAGTCATTCAGCCTCCCCAATCAATCCAAGGTAGGATCCCCATTTTAAAAACTTGGAAAGAACTATATCTAGAAAATAAAACTAAGCCCTATATTCTCAAAAACTTGAAGGCATAACAAAAATCATGTTGAAGTTCATGTACACTTGTTACTAAAGAAATTGCTAATCTTCACATATGTTTCCATCTTTTATATCATTTACTATAGATTCCATACCGTAAGACAGGGATACAACTTTTTCAAGCATCTGAATGATGCAGAGCACTAAAAGCATTGAAAGAAAATTGTTGCAGAGGGAAAGAGCAATGAGATATAATATCATTAAGTTCCGGATAAACTCTTTGTATGGGCATTACCATTATATGATGCTAACCTTAAGTTTAGTCTCATTGACCGTTAGAGAATTGAAATGTGTCTCTACGATATCCTCTTCATTCTTCACCAACTCCTTTTTGTTTAGAGGTCTCTTGCGCACCTGCAACCAGTCCATCATTAGCCAATTACAAGGAAAAATGGTAAGTGACGTCATGCGTCTTTCATTGTTAGACGTTAAACATCATTGATTGACAAATTTTCACTCTGGCAGAACATCATATTTTCCAGGATTTTAAGCAATCCACCTGACATTACCATCGCTGACAAAGTAGGCTTCGCTGCACAGTATAGTGCCATAGAAGTTGACCAGTAAACTATGGAAAGGCAGATTAAAGGGAATAGGAAAAACATACCACCACTTTGATCTTTGCAACATTGCTGGCCTTCTCTTTATCTGGAGCAGAATTTTTGAAAGGATTGTTCTCTTGCAAACCAAGAACCCTGCCAGTTGGTTTGTTATTCTCATAGTATGGTTCAGATTCATCAAAGCTTCTTCCCCAACCAAAATGATGGGTGGAAGGGGCATCATACAGACCAGGAACTGGCACCTACCAATATTTTTCACAAAAAGATCAGCAAAAAAATGTGTTAACTAGCTTAAGTTCACATTATTACTCCAAAATCCAAATCCAATTGCCTAAGTTAGCAATATCAGAGAACAATATATAGCAGAGTTAAATGATTAAAGAACATCACACTGACAAGGATCATCTAGTTATTTGGCATATTCATGGTTCAACAACAAATAGCTGTTCATCAACTCTCAAAATTTAAATGCACACCCCCNGATTTTAAGCAATCCACCTGACATTACCATCGCTGACAAAGTAGGCTTCGCTGCACAGTATAGTGCCATAGAAGTTGACCAGTAAACTATGGAAAGGCAGATTAAAGGGAATAGGAAAAACATACCACCACTTTGATCTTTGCAACATTGCTGGCCTTCTCTTTATCTGGAGCAGAATTTTTGAAAGGATTGTTCTCTTGCAAACCAAGAACCCTGCCAGTTGGTTTGTTATTCTCATAGTATGGTTCAGATTCATCAAAGCTTCTTCCCCAACCAAAATGATGGGTGGAAGGGGCATCATACAGACCAGGAACTGGCACCTACCAATATTTTTCACAAAAAGATCAGCAAAAAAATGTGTTAACTAGCTTAAGTTCACATTATTACTCCAAAATCCAAATCCAATTGCCTAAGTTAGCAATATCAGAGAACACTATATAGCAGAGTTAAATGATTAAAGAACATCACACTGACAAGGATCATCTAGTTATTTGGCATATTCATGGTTCAACAACAAATAGCTGTTCATCAACTTTCAAAATTTAAATGCACACCCCCTCCTCCCCCTACCAAAACACACGCCCACACAAGGAGTCCTTTTCCTTTTTTTTTTTTGCTACACAAAGTGTTTGGGCTTGCACCGACTACTCCCTCGAACACACAAAGTCCATGAACACAAAGAGTCCATAAACCATCGCAATTCTTTTGTAATCACGAGGTTTCCATTATATTAATAACAAATCTGATCAAATAATTTGCATGATTCCATAAATGCATCACGTTATATACTAGATTAACATAGAACTAATAGTGAAGTTCACTAGTCAACGAACAGATACGACTCCAACATAGAACTAAAAAAATTCATCCCAAGATAAAGAAATGCAAATTGAAATTTAGGAAAAGCACCTCAGGTAGAAGCTCAGAATCGAAAGAGTGTAGATCCAAGAGTCCATGACTGAACTCATTCAGAGACGCTTGTTCCTCAGCATTCTTCCTACGGTTTGACATTGCCGGCGGCATCAATGGCTCAGTGAAAAAGTCACTCCCTCCACTAGAAATCCTCTGCGAATTCCTATACATTCTCATACCCTGACCTCCTCCACCATAGTGATCAAAGCCCTAGCCCCAACACATCCGAAAAAATATAAAAAATAAAATCTAAAATACAAAATCTAAAAATTGAATTATTGTATATAGTGGCAGATCTATAAAAACATGTACACTTAGTTTCAGATTTTTTTGAATCTAATATAAAAGACTCAAATAAAATGTATAAGGATCGGAACCTGTGGAGAAGGAACAGTGTTATTTGAGGACTGAAGGTGTTGAAGACCAGTTGATTGTAGCCATCGGCCATTGGAAGAGGCCTCTACGGAGTTGTCGGAATGCTGTCGCTGGTGATGCACCGCCAATGTACCAGATCTCTGTCTCCCCACAGCGTTCGTGTCTCTTTCCCTCCCTGTAAATTTACTCAACTTCGGATCAAAACTCTCTCTCAAAAGCTAAAACCACACTAAGAAATTATTTCAAAAGATTACTTGGACTCTCTCTATAAATGTACTAAAGCTTCGATTACACCCTCTTTATTCTCTAAAATCAATCAGTGTCTGACATTCAAATTTGAGAGGAGTGTGTGTGTGTGTGTGTGAGAGAGAGAGAGAGTCTTGGAGATGAAATGAAGACTCCGGCGCATGGAAGCTTGGGAGTTCAATGGTGGTAAAATTAGCTTGCAGGTTTTGAAATTCGGAAGACAGAGAGTGAGACGAGAGTGTGGGATTACAGGATTTAAATCCAGAAATCTTAATTCAAATTTTCTCAACTCCTTAATCTTGTCATGCTTATGAATACCCTAATCCGGAAAGGCATTGGTCGAGATCAGGTAACCCCGAATGTAACTAAAATAAGAATATTAAGGCAGATATTTAAAAAAATTAAAAATAATATAATACGAAATCAACTTATCAGAATAATGGTACAAGTAACTCTAATTATTGATAAGTTCAGGGATAATTGATTACAATAATTTGATCATATTCAACAGAAGTTGATAGAGACATCAATTAAAAAAAATTATCGAATTTCTCTTAATAGTACTAGAAATAGAGGAAATATATAAATTAACATTGAATAAAATAATAATAAAAATATTTAACTTAAATGAGCGTGCAGTGTACGATTAAAATGAATAATAAAGACGGACTCGTATAACTAATCCAAAATGATTAGGATATAAGGCTTATTTTAGTTTATTTTTAATTATATATAAGTTAATTCTGACAATCTAATCAATAAACAAAAAAAATAAAAAGAAGAGAGTGGGAATTGAAGGAGTCAAATGAATGGGTTTGTTGGTTGACCATAAACTGCTGAGTGTAAAATAAATTTAATCTATTTTTTACCCAATTAATAAATGGGTTGGGTTGACTTAGTCACTTGTAAAATAATTAAAACTCTTAATAAAAATATACATTAATATACAAAAAATACACACACTAATATATTAAAAATACATAATCTAATACACAAAAATACACACACTCATGTACAAAAAATACAAACACATTTAATAAAACACAAAAAATGTGTACATACACTATTCATCAAAATACACACAGATTGGCAAGTCGAGTGTGGGTCAGGTCGTGGGTTGATCACAGATTATGGGTTGAGTATTAGCCTGTGATTTTTGTGTAATAGTATATGTGTGTTTATTTTTTTGTGTATTAGTATGTGTGCGTTATTTTTTTGTATATTAATATATTTATTTAATTTTATTACTTATGTTATTTAAAAAAAAAATACTCAATTCAATTGATCCCTATTTGTAAGTTATCTTACAAATAGGTAATATATTATGATTACTACCTCCGGCGAGACAAATATGAGAACTGGGGTTGACGTAATAGTAAGTAGGGTGTCAATTGATCCAATGTTAACTAGATAAATTAAGAGGTAATATATTATGATTACTACCTCCGGCGAGACAAATATGAGAACTGGGGTTGACGTAATAGTAAGTAGGGTGTCAATTGATCCAATGTTAACTAGATAAATTAAGAGGTAATATATTATGATTACTACCTCCGGCGAGACAAATATGAGAACTGGGGTTGACGTAATAGTAAGTAGGGTGTCAATTGATCCAATGTTAACTAGATAAATTAAGAGGTAATATATTATGATTACTACCTCCGGTGAGACAAATATGAGAACTGGGGTTGACCTAATAGTAAGTAGGGTGTCAATTGATCCAATGTTAACTCGGATTGGTCATAAATTTAAAAAAAATCACCTTTCACAAATTCGATTACAACCCGAATAGAAATAAATCATTAAAAAATTTGACACAATATAACGAATACAATTTAAAAGTACAACACGATACAACCTAATGATGCACAAAATAATTTTGTATACCACTTGTCAAGTGATTGAAAATAAATACAGTAATTTAAAGTAAAGAAAGATGGATGAGAGAAGATTTATAGTGGTTTGATCCATGTGACTTACGTCTACTCTTGAATGACTTTGATCACTGAGTACTTTTATTAGCTCAAGGGTAAATGGAGTAAAGAGTACAAGCTTTGAGAGAGAGAGGAGAGTTGTGCTCAGGTAGGAGTGTGATCCCAAGTGTTAGTGAGACATATAATTTATAGTCGTTCTCCTAACAGATTTTGGGTGAAATATTAGCAACTACATAACTATTCTGGTAGAGTTCACAACTTCTCCTCAACATGTTAGGTAGTTGCGGTGCTTTCCATGAGATTCGGCCAAATGATAATGTGGGTGTTAACTCCTTCAAAGGGGAAGAGGATAAAGCTCTTGGATAACGTTGCATGCTCCAAGGTGGTAGAGGAGGAAGGCTAGGTGCCTGAGGTAGAGACCTAGGCATCTGCGAAGGAGAGTTGGGCGCCTGTAGAGGAGAACTGGGCGCCTATGGAAGGGAGCATGTTTCTCTACTGATGTAACTCGTGAAACCTGATGAACTTGATAGGGTGCAGACTCCTTTGGGCTTGTTACATGAGTTGGACCATTGGGTTTGGCTCATCATTTGGCCCCCAATGCTCTATGTCTAATGGAACTTGGAAAGGAGGGCATTCGATTAAGTTTGAATTTTCGGCTGACTGGCACAACTGGAAAAACTTCGGGAGGCCAAAACATTTGCTTCCAAACCCTTTTTGGACTTATTATAGCATCAATCACAACCAAAGTCTATATGCCTTGTAGGGCTCGCTGAGAGCTTCAATTTGATATATAATAAGCCTCTGTTTGGAGTTACAGAGCACAATTTACGATCAAAATAACGAGTAGGCGATTTTGGGCAAGCAGCAACTTCTAGGCGAGCTTGGGGCTACCTTGGGCGCCTTCGACGAGCTCCACTAAAGTAGGTGGCATGGTGGGTGCTAGCATGGGTGTGCAAGGGTTGTGCGCTAGCAGGCCCCAGACGCTTCTCCAGCTGTCTCGTTTGGGTGAGCACATAGGATCAGACACTCCTCTAGATGCTGGGGCGCCTTATTTGGGTGAGCATAGAGCTTCAGACACCTCTCTAGGTGCTGGGTTGCATCGTTTGGGCTAGCACATAGGATCAGACACTTCTTCAGGTGCTGGGTTTAGGGATGTCAATGAACTGAAGCGGGGGCGGGGGGTATAGTCTCCATCCCCATATCTGCTTAAAAAATCTTCGTCCATCCCCGGTCTACCCCCGTTAACGAGTATAATTTTCATCCCCATCCCCGTCCACGGGTAAATTTATAATTCCCGTCCCCGCTTCCCCCGTACCCGCCCAAGCCCAAACATAAGCCCAAGCCCAAGCTCAAGCCCAAGCCTAAGCCTAAGCTCAAGTTCAAGTCAATATAATCCAAAATTCTAAATAAATCCAACATTTGAAATCTAACATTTCAACTACATGTAAAAATCAACTAAGTAGAAACCAAACTATAATAAATGCATGCACTTAAAAGTCCAATATCATCAAGCTCTAAATAGACAGAATATATCACTATTTCAGAGTCACCCTATATACACAGGGTGCAAAAGGTATAAGGCTGAAAGCTTGAAGAAGAATTGAATTTGTGTTTTTTTAGTCAGAACAAATGTCATAAAGAAAATGACTTTGTATATGTTCCCTGTCTGATATGGTTTGCTAAAACTACGGCAGCCTTCATGTTCGAAAGCCAAAATACAGTTTAACTGATTAAAAGACATCTTTGAACAACAAAAGGGTGTGACCATGCTCCGTTTCTAACTATCAATCCACCAAAATGTAAAACAAAAACTGAAAATTAGTGAACAACAATTTTGTCGCATAAGAATTGGTAACTTATATTTGTCACATAAGAATTGGTAATTTTATTCATTTATTTATTTAAAGGGTAACGGGGACGGGACGGGGGCGGGGTTAAGGGTAAGTTCATCCCTGCCTCCATCCCCGAACGGGTTTATATGGGTATTCCCGTATACGTCCACCGTTCAATACGTATAGTCCATCCCCAGTCCAAACGAGACGAATTTGGACGAATACCCATTTTTCTCCGATCCACTACTATCCCTAGCTGGGTTGCCTCGTTTGTGTGAGCATAGAGCGTCAAGCACCCCTCCAAGTGTTGGTTTGCCCCGTTTTGGCTAGCATAGAGTGTTAAACACCTCTCCAGGTGTTGGGCTACCTCGTTTGGGAGAGCACATAGGATCAGACACTCCTCTAGGTGGTGGGCTGCCGCGTTTAGGCTCCTTGGGTGAGCCTGAGACTGCCTCGGGCACTTTGGGGGGATGCCTTGGGGGCTTTGGGCGAGCCTGCTTGTGATGGATAGAAATAATGTTATTTCAAACATAAAAATATCTCACATAATTACCTGGAGAGAGAAGTAGGCTGCCTGCGTGAGAGCAAAGACAGAGTTGGAGAATTGCTAGTGAGAGAGCTATACCTTTTGAGGCCTAGCTTTTAGCGATCCATGAGAAAGTCTTTAAGCTTGAGGTATAGGCTGCCTATTTGAGAACAGTGCAGAGGCCAAACTTTTTTGGCGACCCCTGAGAGAGTCGCTAAGCTGGAGATAAGCTGCATGTTTGAGAACGGTGCAGAGGCTAAGCTTTTTTGGCGACCCTTGAGAGAGCCGCTAAGCTGGAGATAAGTTGTCCATTTGAGAACAATGTAGAGGCTAAGCTTTTTTGGTGACCCCTGAGAGAGCCGCTAAGATGGAAATAAGCTGCCTGTTTGAGAATAGTGGAGAGACTAAGCTTTTTGACGACCCGTGAAAGAGTCGCTAAGCTGGAGATAAGCTGCCTATTTGAGAACAGTGCAGAGGCCAAACTTTTTGGACGACTTGCGAGAGACCCGCTAAGCTGGAGATAAGCTACTTATTTGAGAATAGTGCAAAGGCAGGTCAAGCTCATGGTGATCTGCGAGATGATTCACCTCGCCTAGACCTATTGATTTTATCAGCATTCATATATTTTTGAGCATTTGCCAATAGTTCTGGTATGCTCTTTGGTAGTCGCTTCATTAATAAAAAAAGGAATCTGGATAAGCGGAGGCCTCCTAAAAAGGCAGTCAGGGTGACTTTGTCATTGGGCTCCTCGATTTGGAGGACCTCCTCATTAAAATGAGTGAGGTAACTCCTTAGACTCTCGTCTCGATCCTATTTTATGTTGAGCAGATGGGTGACAGGCTTTTGTTGGCAGAGTCCACCAATGAACTGTGCCACAAATGATTTGCTCAGTTCGGCAAACGAACCTATGGAGGTGGGGGGTGAGTTTGGCGAACCAGTCGTGCTGATCCCTTCAAAGTAGTTGGGAATACCCTACACATAATTTCATCGAGGGCGTTGTGCAGTTGCATTAGGGTCTTGTAGGTTTCGAGGAGATAAAATGGA